TAAGCTGTTTGCTGATGACCTGTTGGTCAGGTTGATCTGGATCATCTGGATTAAGCCTTGGTTTGTCGTTTCAGCATCAGAACCCCTAAATATGGATCCAAAAATGTTTGTTTTTCATAATCCGTGGAGGTAACCCAGATCCGCATGTGGAAAAAAAATGGCCTTCAGCTCTGTGCGATATCAAAACAAATATTTGACTCCAAACTACATGAAAGAGCTGAAGAGCTCCGCCTCCGTGTCACAATCTACACGCCACGACGGGTCTGCAGCCCAGAACCCGCCCGACCCGATCCAGAACTACCAGAACTCTGCTGCCATGTTGGGAGGAGGAGCTTATCAGGACCAAACGTTTGCTCATTAGTGACTGAAAGCCTCCATCAGGAAACTAAGATTCAAATGATTTTCTGTCCCATAAGTATTCACACCCCTGGCAGGATGGGATTTAAAACTATTTTATTTTGACATTTTATTTCTAGAATTTACCAAATATATTCAACTATAAAGGAGTCAGTTTCTCTTATAAACGTTTCCTTAAAATAATTGGATGTTAAAATCATTTCTTCCTGAATGTTCCTCTTTGCCATCACCCTAATGTTTGGCTCCCAGTCCTAAATCAGGCCTGTGGAGTAAAACATGTTGAGGTTTGTCTGTTTTTAGCCTCACAGGCTCCAAACGAAGGTAATGAGAGATAATAATGAGTCACAGCTTCCTTCATGGCATGAAGGGGAGGACTGCTGTTATTAGGAGATCCATCTGACCAGTGGAAGATAGATTAACCTGACAGGGAACGGCCTTCATGAATTCATGCTGTTTTTCCTCAAAATATTCGTGTGTGGGAAAGTTCTTTATGCAGGGGGTGGGTTGGTTCATTAATGTATGACATGAGCTTTGATCAGTCAGAGCTCTATCTCTGCGTCTGAGGACGTTAAATACATTTGAACCTTATTTCTTTAAGAAATGCAGCTGTCTCAGCCATAGCAGGACTTTGACTGGACCACTCCGCTCCATCAGTGTCACTTCCTGCTGAAACAGACATGCTGGCAGTGGCGCCACCAGGGGGTGGCCACGGCCACCCTGTTGAATGCCCACTGGCCACCCCACTGGCCACCCGCTCGCCAGCGTAAATTGTGGTAGCATCAGTTAGCATATATTAGCATTTCTACATGCAGGTTTTCCACAATAGTAGATTCAAACCCTGAAATTATGGCCTTTCGTTTCAGTGGCCACCACAACAGTTTTAGTGGCCCCATCTGGCCACTATGAAACATTTCTGGAGGCGCCACTGCATGCTTGTCTGTTTGAAACCAAAACATGGCCGCCACATTTAGGACACATTTATTTTTTACATTTTCCATTTTATTTTCGCTGTGACATGGTCAAAAAAATTTTTTAATTGTGGCCCATCCATCCATCCATCCATCCATCTTCCTCTGCTTATCCGGGATCGGGTTGCGGGGGCAGCAGCTTAAGAAGGGAGGCCCAGACTTCCCTCTCCCCAGCCACTTCTTCCAGCTCTTCAGGAGGAACCCCAAGGCGCTCCCAGGCCAGCCGAGAAACATAGTCTCTCCAGCGTGTCCTGGGTCTTCCCCGGGGCCTCCCCCGGTGGGACGTGCCCGGAACACCTCACCAGGGAGGCGTCCAGGAGGCATCCTAAACAGATGCCCGAGCCACCTCAACTGGCTCCTCTCGACGTGGAGGAGCAGCGGCTCTACTCCGAGTCCCTCCCGGATGACCGAGCTTCTCACCCTATCTCTAAGGGAGAGCCCAGCCACCCTACGGAGGAAACCCATTTCGGCCGCTTGTATCCGCGATCTCGTTCTTTCAGTCATGACCCAGAGTTCATGACCATAGATGAGGGTAGGAACGTAGATCGACCGGTAAATCGAGAGCTTCGCTTTTTGACTCAGCTCTCTCTTCACCACAACGGACCGGTACAGCGCCCGCTTCACGGCAGACGCTGCACCAATCCGCCTGTCGACCTCCCGCTCCCTTCTTCCCTCATTCGTGAACAAGATCCCAAGATACTTAAACTCCTCCACTTAGGGCAGGACACCCCCCTGACCCGGAGAAGGCACTCTACCCTTTTCCGGCTCAAGACCATGGCCTCGGATTTGGAGGCACTGATCCCCATCCCGGCCGCTTCACACTCGGCTGCGAACCGATCCAGCGAGAGCTGCAGATCACGACCTGATGAAGCCAACAGGACCACATCATCTGCGAAAAGCAGAGACGCAATCCTAAGGCCACCAAAACGGATCCCCTCAACACCTTGGCTGCGCCTAGAAATTCTGTCCATGAAGGTAATGAACAGAATCGGTGACAAAGGGCAGCCCTGGCGGAGTCCAACTCTCACCGGAAACGAGCCCGACTTACTGCCGGCAATGCGGACCAGACTCTGACACCGGTCATACAGGGACCTGACAGCCCGTATCAAAGGGCCCGGCACCCCGTATTCCCGGAGGACCCCCCACAGGGCCCCCCGAGGGACACGGTCGAACGCCTTCTCCAAGTCCACAAAGCACATGTAGACTGGTTGGGCGAACTCCCATGCACCCTCCAGGACCCTGCTGAGGGTGTAGAGCTGGTCCAGCGTTCCACGACCAGGACGGAAACCACACTGCTCTTCCTGAATCCGAGGTTCGACTATTAATTGTGGCCACGAAGTAGTATTTCGCGGCCACGCAATAAGTTTAACGTGCACAGAAAATACTATCAATAAATCCGCCCGTTTTCAGGCTTATGTTAACTGTAATGACTTATCTTGGACAGGCTGCTATGTAAACGGGCCTTTAGTCCTTCGTTTAGCAATGCTGCGGTTGTTTACACTACGCCTTTTCCACCTAAAATAGCGTCTTAGCAACAAATGTCACGTGACTGGCGGAGACCGACTGGGTAAGCAAATCGAGCGCGCCTTAGACCTTAGAGAAGGCGCGCTCGATTTGCTTACCCAGTTGTCCAGGAATGATATTAGTATTATTAATAAGTATTTCGTGCGCACGTTAGACTTATTGCGTGGCCGCGAAATACTACTTCGTGGCCACAATTAAAAATTTTTTTTGACCATGTCATCAGAGGGGCTCCGTACCGCTGTGATTGTAATCTGGGATAATTTTGAAATGTTTCTTTATTTAAAAGAATAAAAAAAAAAAGCAAACAGATGTTTTTTAATTTAACACTATTTATTTATTCAGTTCATTATTAAAGAGCCAATTCACAGGAAACGTCATCTGAGGCATCTGTGTTTTTAATGGAGCTTTAATACTAGAATTATATTGTTGTTTTTTTATCATAAAAAACTCTAATCTAAAAACGCTAATCTAACACTGTAAAAATAAAATTATACAATTTTTTTTAACGTTTCCAATTATGTCTTATTCTTTTTTAGTACTTGAAATCATCTTTGTTAAAAAAACATGTAAAGACTTCTTCAAAAAATATATTATTGTTCAAGATATTTTGAACTCATTAAGATAATTAAAAATAATCACTTTAAATGTGTGAATTACAAGTCGTCAAGTTTTACAGATTGTGAAAACGCTTTTAAGACTAGAGCAGCTTTAACTCCTCTGATGCACCAGATACCAAAATAATCAAAACTCCATCGGCTGCATTTTCAAGCTTGAGCCACTAGAGGTCTCTAAATCCGACATTAACCAAAGCATTAGCAGCTGAGCGTCACCATGGATTTAATGCGGATCCAGTTACAAACTGGGAAATGTTGCCATGCCAGTTATTCTACTAAAAATCTCGCAGCCGCATCGTCACCACCAGATGGCGCCAAACAGGAAACGTTTAATTCATTTTAGTTAGCTAGTTTCCATCCAACAGGGCAGCCATGTTGGATTTAGCGCCATCTTCCAACAATCAAAGGCTACGTTCACACTGCAGCCGGGAGTCTGTATACGAATCTGATGTTTTCAAATGCGATCTCTGCCTGAACGGCCAGGTCGCATTCATCCGACCTGAACGCCATTAATACCCGACACAGGTCGCTATTCTGGGTCTTTCTATGAAGAAGCGGCAAGAAAAACAACAACCAATGATGCGGAGAGTGGTATTTATGTTTGTCAATTTGAAAAGATTGAGTTTTTATGGTTTGGAAAGATCGCAAGATCTTTTTTGTTCTAGAACACGCTGGCCTGTGATGTCATCGCGTTCTCTACTGCGCATGCGGGACACTTGCGTTATATGACTGCAGTTTACACAGTAGATCACATACAAGTTGCATATGTAAACGGCAACACTAAAAAATCGGAACTGAGCATCAAGGCGTGCAGTGGGAACGTAGCCAAAGTCTCCTGATGATCGTGACCGTCTGTTTTTCCTTCATCCCCGAACAGTCGCGTTAAAATGACGAGATTCTCTCCTGGTTTTTTATCCACAGGAAACAAGATAAATCATCTTAAATCAAAATAATCATCATGGAACATCGACCGCCTGTGTTCGTTTAAAAAAAAATCGGCTTCAGGAAACCAGGAATTATGATAGAAATAAAGGATTATTGTTGGAAAATAAAGCTTCGTTTGTGGATTTTGATGAATTTCCTCAGTGGCGGTTCTAGACCAAATGTAGCTCGGGGCCAGGAGGGGGCCCAGCAGGGGGCCAGCTTGTTTTTATTGGGGCACAGAAAAGCATTAAATATAAAACAAGTGCAAGTGATTCAAATATATTAATATAGCTGCATGACCTGAAATTTTTATTCATTTAGGTTTAATTAAAATTCTATTTCTTTTTAGGTCAGTTTACATTTAGAATTTAGTAATTTAACATATTTTTGACTTAATTTCAGTAAAATGGCCGTTTTCTATCAAATTTGAATTAGAATTCAAGAAAAACTGATATATTCAGCATTTTTTTGTGCTGAAAAAAAACATTTAGCAGATTAAAACTGGGATCGTATCTCGATAGCACTGAAGCTATCACCTTATTGTTTTTAAATAATCAGAAAAACAGAATTTTTAAAGAAATAAAATGAAATAGATCCAGTAACCATGTCTGTCATTACAATATGTTTGAGTATTATGTCTTCAGTACAGGGGCCATAGCGGGGGCCAGGACATGATCTACAGGGGCAGTGGCCCCCGTGGGCCCCCGTCTAGAACCGCCCATGAATTTCCTGATTTCATCCTGAAAGTCAAAGGCGGGAAGTTCCAGCTGGATTCTGGAGTCCATCCGGTGGTTCTGCTGAGCGGGCATCAGCATCCTGTTGTCATGGAAACCACCTGGACCTGTGCTTGGGTTCGGTTGTCATGGGAACGGGCAGGTGGGTCCAGATGGTGGAGGAACCATGTTAGGATGGAAAGCAGGAGGAGCTTTTTTCTCCCGGTGCTCCTCAGAGGGGGGGTGGGGAGCCGGTTCTGCCGCGCTGGTTCCGGTACCGCAGCGTGTAGTTCTGGCCCCGGTTGTTGTCCCAGAACTCGCCCTCGTCGCTCCGCAGGAAGACGGCGAAGTGCACCGCGGTGCTGGGGTCCATGAAGGGGGAGGTTAAGACGCTGAAGCCGAACCGGACCCCCTCTGACCCGGACTCCTCCGCCGGCACCGCCTGCGCGTCCACGTGGGACAGCCAGTTGTTGAAGGTGTACCTGACCCCCACCTCCCGCACCGAGGTGCCCGGCAGGACGCGCACCTGGCCCCGCACGTCGAACTGCGTGATGAGCAGCCTCTCCAGGCAGACCCGCAGCTCGCGGACCCGCCGCTCCGCGTCCCGCAGCTCCGGGAAGCAGACCTCCAGGCGGTCCGGGTCCAGGCTGGACCGGAAGCTCAGCGGCTCCTGCTGCGGGGGAGGGAAGCTCTTGTGGCGGGACAGGACTTTGGAGGGGATCTGCGGGTCTTCCAGGGAGCTGAAGTGTTTGACGCTGGCCAGAGTCAGACCCATGGAGTCCGCGAACTTTACGCGCTTCCTGCCGGAGTCCGAGTCCAGCAGCGCGGCAGGGTAGGCCGGCAGGGAGCGGGCCCTCCGCCGGTCCCGCATGAACTTCTCCAGGTGGGACGCGTCCACCGCATCCTCAAGATCCTCCTCCTCCTCCTCCTGCTCCTCCTGCAGACCGTTCTCCTGTGGAGCTGAGCGGAACATCGGAGCGCTGCGTCCTGCGGGAAGCGCTGCGGCTTCTATAGACACCCCCCGCCCCCCTCCAGCGTGACAGCAGAGCGCGTGCAGCAAGTCCCGCAGCTGTTGTCCCCCTGCACCCGCCCCCCGGTGACGTCACAAATATCAACCTTCACCTGTTTGCGTGCGAAGCGGAGAGAGATGATGATGAAGATGATGAAGAAAAGCCCGAACAGAACCAGAACCTCCTGATCCCAAATCACCAGATTAACACATTTACTGAGATTAACACTGAAATACATGCAATAATTGTTTATTTTCTATTTAATCCTAATCTTGTGTCTGAAGGCAACATTGTTACCTGTTTAAGGTTGTTCTCCAATTTGTTTTACAAAATTTTTTTCCTTTTATTTTTCTTCTGTTTTATTTTCTATTTCAAACTTGCCTTACCTGAGCTGTGGAATGTATGGAGTGAATTTTGTTTCATTATTGTTGCAGCATTAAACATGTTTTAGTTTTGGAAATAAAATAAAGAAAAGTAATCCAGGAATGAACCTTTCATTTCTATTTAATCCTCAATTTAATCCTTTAATCCTAATCTTACATCTTGAAGGCAACATTCTTAGCTCCAATTGTTTTGTTTTACAATTTTTTTACCTTTATTCTGCTTTTATTTTTCTTCTATTTTATCATCTAATTCATGTAAAGCACTTTGAATTATTCATGTACTGAATTATGCTCTAAAATAAATTTGTGGTAAAAAAAAGATATTAATAATAAACTTGCCTTAACTGAGCTGTGTATTGTATGGAGTGAATTTTGTTCCATTATTGTTGCAGAAATGAACATGTTTTATAAATTGACAAAAAAAAAAATAAAAAATCCAGGAAGAAAACTTTAACAAATGTTTTTTTTTTTTTTTTTTTTTTTTTTTTTTTTTTTTTTTTTTTTTTTTTTTTACCAACAAAGGTGCTTGCTTGCTTTTTTTCTCAGATTTTGCCATTTTATTTTTCATGTTTAATTCTTTTTTTTTTTTTTTTAGAAAAACAAGACTTTACATTAAAGTTTTTTTGCCCAACTTCATCTTGTATGAATTCACCAATTGAAATCTTAGTTCCAGACAAAAGCCAGAAGACAGAAATAAAAAAGTGTGAAATGAAATGAAATTTGAAAAATATAAATTAATAAAACTCAATCTGAAAGACAAAATTTTTGCTCAAAATAGTTTTTCCAAGTTTTACTTTTAGTTTTATTTTTTTATATCAATTTACAAAAAGTGTTCTTTGCAAAAAATAATGGTGCAAATTTCCCTCCATAGCCCTGCAGCTCTGTTTTATATATTTAGATGGATTCTGTGTCCTGTAGGTCTGCAGGGATAATGTCAGTGATAATAAACATTTAAGGAGGAGGAATTTATGCGTCTGTTGCATCTATTTAAGCATCTTTATTGACTTTAACGTTGATTTTTGATGTCAGCAGAATAAAAAAGGCTTAACAGAAAGAGGAAGATGATCCATAGTTCTCTTTTCATGCATGTGCAGATATCTTTGTAATGGTTGTGATCTTGTAGCTCTGAGTAAAAACTGTACGAATCAAGATGTTTGTAGCCGCATGTCAATGTTTATATTTGTTTAAATGTACAGAAATAAATCTATTTGCTCACTTTATGGACTTAAAGTGATAAATAAGAAGTGGAAAGATTGAGGGTTTAATGGACTAAAAGTAGAGATATAATAAAATAAGTTAAACAACATAAACACTAAATTAATCATATAACATAAATATATGGATCAATAATTAAACGTGTTTGATTATTACATGTTCAAATTCTAGGAGAAATGTTTGTGAGTTTAGAAAATGCAGCCGAAGGATTTATAGAAAATAAGGAAAGAAAACTGGATTTCTATTTCTATAATAATCGTCTAAATGATGAGATTATAATATTATGGAAATAATAATAAGATAATAACTGTAATAATGACCAATTATAGTAATTCTATTAATCATCTTTCTTTTTTTTTTTTTTCTGGAGGATTTCAGTTTTTTTCCTCTGAAGCAGAAATAAATCCCAGAATGAGAGAAAAACGTCATTATTTATTTTCCTAGAAGCTGCTCTTACATAACGCTGCGCCTCACGTGCCGCCGGTGCGTCAATCAGCAGGAGGTAAACAGACTTGTGACATCACGGCCATCGCCGCGGTGACATCATGCTGCTTTCAGCCGTGATTTCCTTAAAAGGAGAAAAAAAACAAAACCACATAACATTTATTTATTTTTTTTTTAGAAAAATGTCCTTTTCTCTGATTAGGTTACAAATTGTTTATGTTTGATTTCAGGTGACCTTTGACCTCTAATAAGTGAAATGGTCCATGTAGAAGCTCCATTATGTAACAGCAGGTCATCAACAGAGTAAACAGGCCTGCGAGTTAAAATAGGGACGGAAAACTAAGATTAGAGACAATTCATTCTTAGAAATGGTTTCAAACGTGAGAGGAAGAGAGACGAGGAACTTTACTGGGAGCAAAATGTCTGCAACAAGGAAAAGAGTTGAAGTTAATTCTATTCAGTTTATTTCTATAGCTCCAATTCACATCATGTCATCTCAGGTCACTTTCCAGTTCACCAGATCATCCAGTCAGATTGATTCAAAGTTTTCTATCTAAGGAAAACCAGCTGATTGCATCGACTCATTGACTCTTCAGCAATCCCTCACACTAAGCATGCTTGTAGCGACAGTGGAGAGGAAAAACTCCCTTTGAACAGGAAGAAACCTCCAGCAGAACCAGGCTCAGTGTGAGCGGCCATCTGCTGAGGCCCACTGGGGTTCAAGGAGACAGAAGCAGACATAGAAAAAGAAGCATAGATACAAAAGGCAACTGTCAACCAGCTCCACAGGCGGCCCCGTCCAGGAAACACACAGCCAGGCAGACGAGCTCCGAGCCAGCTCCCATGTCAGAGGATGAAGGGAGCACATCCAGTTAGTCACAGTCAGAGAAACAGGACTACACTGGAAAACAGGCCGATCTCCAACATCTAGAAACAAAGGTGTTGATGGCAGCAGCACAGCTGATATTTCTCTCCAGGATGGAGTCACAGCCAAACAGGAACAGACCAGATGAAGCTACTATGAGAAAAAGCAGAGAGAGCAGAACGTTAGAGATTGAACTAACAGATTCTGCAGAGTGGGAGAATAGAGATAGAATGAAGCAGAATGATGAAAAAGGGGTCCCTATGTCCTCCAGCAGTCTAAGCCTATAGCAGCATAACTATAGAGATAGCTCAGGATAACCTGAGCCACCCTAACTATAAGCTTTATCAAAAATGAAAGTTTTAAGCCTAGCCTTAAAAGTAGACAGGGTGTCTGCCTCACGGACTAAAACTGGTAGTTGGTTCCACAGGAGATTAGAGGAAATTAGAAAGAAATGTGGATGAAATAATTTGGTTTGAAGGCTGAGGAGGATTTAGCTCTACAGAACCAGATCTGTTGGAACCATCCTGGTGAAGGAACCAGTGACGGCTCAGTTCTCTGTACCGTCACTTTATTAAATATAATATAAATAATTGAACTTTATTGATCTCACATTAGAGAAACTCACTCTCTGCATTTAACCCGTCTCCATGGGGAGCAGTGGGCTGCCTCTGTGCGGCGCCCAGTGAGCAGTGTGGGGTTAAGGGTCTTGCTCAGGTACCCAGAGTGGAGGCTGCGGAGATCAAACCGGATACTTGCAACCTTCACAGGTGCACTTCTCTAACATCTAGGCAATCACTGCCTCCTAATTATTCTCATATTACAGTTCAGAGGTGCAGACGGTAGCACTGCTGCCTTGCAGCCAGAAGGTTCCGGGTTCGATTCCTGGCCCTGGGTTTTTCTGTATGGAGTTTGCATGTTCTCCCTGTGCATGCATGGGTTCTCTCCAGGTACTCTAGCTTCCTCCCACAGTCCAAAAACATGACTGTTAGGTTAATTGGTTTCTCTAAATTCTCCTTGAGTGTGTGTTTGAATGGTTGCCGGGGCGACAGACTGGCTGTCAGGGTGGACCCCGCCTCTCACCCTCGCCACCCCGCTTGCGATAAAGCATGACGGAAAATTTATAGATTTTTAAATAAATGTGTCTCTTAATGACATTTCATTATTTCATTTCGCAGTTTATAATTTATTGCACATCTAATGTTTAACTCGTGAACTAGGTAATTTAATTAGAATAAATTTAGTACATTTATCTGTTTTAAAGGAGATTCATATTTATGAATTCCTGGCCCAAAATGTTAAATGAAAAACATTTTACATTTTGGCCCTCAGGGATCACATGATAAAAACGGTGAAAGCCCTCAGCATCACTAATCCTCCACCATGCAGATCTGGAGGATTGATATTATTTTAGTTAAAAGTGAAGCTTTTATTTTGTTCCATCAGTTTCCACACAGCTCTAGTTGGTTTAAACTGCTTCAATAGTTTATCTGACTGTAACTGTGGGCCAGTTTACTACTAATTTTTGCCCTCCACCACCAGGGGCAGCATTGCTCTTTTCCTCCCAGCTTCTGGTATCAAACAACAGATATTATTACAGGAAAGAACACATTTTATAAAGTTTGACGTGAAAATCTTTGCATTTTGTTACATTAGTTGCTTAAATGCTTCCAGATGATTTATCTGGAGTTTCATATTTAAGATAAAATCTGTTCCATCTTTGACTGATCATAGATTTGAGCAACAGACAACAGATTTTCTAAAAGGGTCTTGTTTGGTTTGAAATGTACTGGGATCTTGTTCCAAAAAAAGAAAATTAAAATCAATCCTCTGGACTTTGTTTCCAAGTTTGAAGACGTTTCTCTTCCATCCAGGAAACCTTTTCTATTCCAAAATGTCAGAAATAGCGTTTAGTTCCAGGTTTTATCCAGCAGCCCAACAAAGCCTGGTTTTAGTTTAGAAAACATGCAAATAGAAACGGATGAATTAATTGGAGACTCCAATAAATTCATTGATTTTTATCCTTTTTTTGGAATGACATAGGAAGGGAATCATGCAGGACCAGCCAGCCTGGCTGCTCTGTGACCTGCTGCCTCTCAACACGACCTGACTAGTTCAGGTGGCGTTAATTAGCAGGCCACCAGGTGGTGCTATTGGACCTCTGCCCTTAGGGCTTTCATTTAAGCTCATTTTCATTATGGCCTATTGGTATTAAAAAAAATAATTAAAAAACCTCAAAATAATTTGTTAATTAATTTCTTAGTGGTCGGACTCGGTGCTGCCCCAACCTGTTGGTTAAATGTGACCCTGTTACCATTAGTTATAAAACTAAAAACATGAAGTCTAAGGAATTGTAGAAAATTGTTCATTTAAAGGCATACTATGCAACATTTTTCAGTTAATTAATGTGTTCCATAACGTTTTGGATGATTAAATGAGTCATTTCAGGTGGAACAAAGGTTTTCTCTGCCGCACTGGTGGTCTGTGGGGGAAATACCGTACTTGCAATAGCAGGAGCCCTCGGCCCGCACCCACAGGCTCAGAACTGTCGTGCATCGCGAGAGTCGGTCTTGCTTTACGGCGAGAACTGCAACACGCCCCCAGTGAATGGCATACTGGTTGCTAGCGCAGTGGCGATATTTGTGCAATTATCATAGTTAGTTAACATGCTAAATTAAAAAGAAACGAAAATTGGAACAAAATAGTCACTTACCGCAGTAGACATGGTGATTCGTTGCGTTCGCCTGTCTGCTAAGCTCGCGCCTGGCTTGACGGAGAAACCAGGAGAACAGCTGAGCTAATTTACGACAGTGCACTTTTACTTTCGCCCTCTGGGGGGAGCCTCGCTGGAAAATCAACACCGGTTGCATAGTATACCTTTAATAGGGTAGCGCAGTAAAGCTTCTGGCCATCTTTTCCTGCATTACTTTTACTTTTATACTTGAAATAGTTTTAAAATGTTATTTTTTATACTTTTACTGGAGTAAAAAGTTGACATTGATCCTCTAACTTCTATAAAAGTGTTTATAAACAGCATGATTTATACATTACTTTTGACACGTCTGATCATATTTAATGGCGTCTTGCCTGGCATACGTATATAAATATGTTAAACTGTGCGGTTAGAAATGTTCTGCTGCAGCTCAGAAATCAGGAGGTTTTCACTCAGACTGATGACTTTACGGATTAACATGATGCTTCTGTGGCATCAGCGTTATACAGCGCTGGGCCAAGTACTCTACTGTAGTACTTAAGTAAAAAGTACTGATACTCATAGTCAAATCTACAACTACAAGTAACATTTTCTTGGTCAAACATTTACTCAAATATTGAAGTACAAACTTTTAAAAATAATCAAGTATTCAAAAAAATTATTTCAGTATTCAAAAGTACAAATAAAATCTTCTTTTATGAGGATATTTGGGTTTAATGTTCAGAGTAATTTTAAAGAACCTGTAACTTTCAGAAACCACCTGATGTATTGATGCGTAGATCAACCTGCTATAGATTCTACACCACCTGAAAAGAAGTTTAACATAAAAATTCCTCAAAATAAGGACAGATTATTTCTTAATAAAAAATAAAAAAAAGCCAAAAGAAAAGAGGAGAGTCTGGATTCTCTTCTCACTTTCTCTATGGAATAAAGGTTTAAGGTTGAATTTATTACCACAAAGAATCTAGAACTCTGATTCTAGATCTCTTCCTACCGTCATGGTCTTAGTTCTGTTTAAGTTTTCTTTTGAGTTTTCAGTTTCACTTTGATCCAGGTTTTTGTTTTCTAGTTTGTGTTTTTTTTCTGGATATATTTAAGTTCTTAGTTTTTTCTTTGTTGCCCTCTTGTGTTGGTCTCCTTTTTCTCTTGGCTCCCTTCTAGATGCTTCCATTCACACCTGCTCCCAATCGGCTCATTAATCCAGTCTTTGTTCAGTCTCCCATATATTGTCTTCCACTGCAATTTCTCAGTCCTGGTTCCTCGTCTTTTCCAGGCTCTTCAAGCTTGTTTTTACTTGATTCTCTTTTTTTTTTATTGTACTTTTTATGTTGTATTTTTGTATTCTTGCATCTGTTGCCTGTTAGTACTCCATTAAATCTCTCCATTCTGCCCCCCGCCTCTGCGTTTGGATCCTTAAAACCTAAACCAAACACTGACAACGTCTTAATAAATTTAGAAACTACTAATAATATCTGCTCTGAGTTTGTCTCATTTGTGGAACGTCATAAAACCTGTAATTTAGTGGCGTCCAGATTGAGTCATAAAGGCTGCTATCCGCCATGAGAGAAAAACGGCAGCAGGGGAATAAAAAGCTAAGCTGAACCAAAAGGAACCATCAGCTTCCTGGAAATGGAGGGAAAGTATGTAGGTAGAAATGAAATTATACAGTAAGGCAAACATGTATATATCTCTTTTAATTAGCTTCGTTATTTATTCACCTTTGTAACAATTACCATATTTATTTATTGTTCTTATAATACTCAACTTTATTTATTAATTACTTATTTTTTAAAGTATTTAAGTTGAACTCCTGAGACACGGCCCTTCCTCATTTGCATAATGAGGCAGAAATAAACAGCATTGGAGAAATAAATAGGGTAAAAAAAATACAAAGGAAGAATAAAACAGACAAAATAATATACCATGCACATAAATACTTAAAAAAATAAGTAATTAATAAAGTTGAAGATTACAACAGAAAATAAGTAAATAAGGTCATTATTACAAAGGTGCATAAATAAAGAAGATAATTAAGAGATAGATACATTTATGTCTCACTGTATAATTTATTTCTACCTATATTTACTTGTTTAATGTATTTTGGGTGCAATTGATTGTATGCTTATTCATTTATTGAGCTTTTATTTATTTCTGTTTATTTTTAAATACGGTAGAGCTGGTCCTTCATACTTAAGTAAAGTACTGAAGTAAATATACTCTGATATTTTAGCCCAAAGATTACTGAATAAAAAAGTCCAGCCAACCAGATGAAAAGATGTTTTTGTTTTATATGCTTCATGTCCTCTTTCCTCCACAGGGGGGCGCCATTTCTCTGCACTGCAGTGATTGGGATGCAGGTGGTGTTCTGATGGGTCTCAGTCAGCAATCCTTTGTCTTTTTGTGGACTGGTTAAACTGGGTAGACTGGGAGTGTTCCCACTGGTTAACTGGCCCTCTGATCTCTGAAAGTTTAATAAAACTATAAAAGTACTGTTAAAGTGAATCCAGTAGGTGGCGCTGCAGAAATGTTAATAGAATAGACATCCATTATCTGTTCTAGGTTGTGTCCCTCTCTTCTTGTCCCTTTTCTTCTTGTTTTCCTCTCTATGTTTTGTACTCAGCTGACTTTTCATGCTGTCTCTAAAGGAATGAAAGATTTTTTCCAAGCACTAAGCTCACTTAGCTGATTGCTCCTTCCTGTGTTTCCAAAAAGTAAATAACCCAGTCCTTCTTTTCACTGTAGACAAGCCATGATCTGCTTATCTGTTCTCCATTTTTCATTTGGATGAAATAATAGCTGCATGAATCATGACAGCAGACAAGATAGAGGAGAGCAGGAGGCGGGGTTACCAATCTACTCGCTCTGGAGAGCAGAGTTCGCTGCTTTTAGATGTTGTCTCCAAAGTCTCCAGTAGCAGAAAAAAGTCTCTAGATTTGGCGCTAGGAGCTTTTTAGAAATCAAAGTGCTAGAGGGGTCTGAAAAGTGGCTAAATATAGCGACTAAAGCGCTAAGTTGGCAACACTGCTCTTTGCATGGTTTGTTTTCAAATGGTTTGCTGCTGTCTGTTTGGACCTTTCTGAACATGTGCAGCAAATGGACTGATCCAATATGGTGGACACTGAAGGGGGGGGGGCTGAGACACACTTAATATTAACAGCGTTCTGATGGCATTTTAGCGAAAAACATAATTAATGTATTAACCTTACATGGAAATAGAGTTTTAAAGGCTCAGAATACTTCTGATTATTCATCAGTGATGTTTCAAAATAAAAGCCCACATTATTTCCAGGTTTTTTCTGTTTAATTTACGATCAATAAAGAAAAGCTCACGTTTTTTATAAAACCAAAATTGAAAGAAAAGTCTAGACTTCCAACATGTGAATCACTTTTATTGCATTAAAAGCAGCTGCACTTTAACAGACAGGCTGGGTTAAACGTCTGGGTCCCTTTTGGACGCAAAACCTCGACACTATTGCATCAGATCTGGACCCGACAGGAGGTCCTTGAAAAAGGTCCTTGCAGCCGAGGCTGAGGAGCAGGTTATCTCAGAAAACGGTTTAATCTGAAGGACTTTAAACATGTTTTCAGAACATTTCTAGACACTACAGGAGAACTATGTTAACCGTTTTAAACTTTTTCATTCAAAGAATGCAGAATTTGAACACTTTTTTTAAACAGATTTATGCACGCTGGTGTCTGCAGATATGATGGATCTCTGTTATCAAAATGTCCAGATGGAGGCTGGAGGTTCATGGAGCTGCAGACGGATGAGGAACGTTTGGTGGGATTTTAGTTTTCCCTTCCTGGTCCGCAGCAGCATCGAGGGCGAACTGGACTCGCTGCGGCGTGACGACTGTTAGCCGCTCGCTATTCATTCACATTCACTTATAAAGACATAAAAATACACAGAAAATTATACAGCCAGTGCATTTCTGGAAGATATGAGGCTTCAGCTGAACGTCTGGATTTTAAATGCCCGACATTAAGGACTTCATTACAATAACGTCATGTGATTGGTTGGTTATATTTTGGTTAATTCTGAGCTGTCGATGAGAAGCAGCGTAGAGCTGCTGCTTCTAGAAGGGACTGACGGGATGTTTAAAATGCCTTGGTCCGCAGCAGACAACCGTCTGCTCTAGAACTGCAGCTCTACACCGAGGAGCCCCGCTGATGATGACATGACGGCGGCCCAATGACGACTACGTCACTCTGCAGTGTAGACGCGGTAGATAAGAGTGACAATGGCGGCTGCCAGAGTGGGGAGGATCAGGGTGGACCACCAGCTGCAAGAGAGGAAAGGAGAGGTTACCAAACATGCTAGGAGCTAACAGACCTTCCCAACAATTAACCGACCTACAGACCATCGACCTGCAGACCAACCGACCGAGAAACCAACCGACCCGCAGACCAACCGAACGAGAAACCAACCGACCCGCAGACCAACCGACCGAGAAACCAACCGACCTACAGACCAACCGACCGAGAAACCAACCGAACCGCAGATCAACCGACCGAGAAAACCAACCGACCTACACACCATCGACCCGCAGACCAACCGACCGAGAAACCAACAAAGAAACCAACTGAGAAACCTGAAGACCATCCAACCAAAGTTATAAAATTACAAACCAACAGGCCAACTAACCTATAAGCTTTCAGACCAACCTACAGACCAAAAACTCAAATAAAACATTTAGATTTACTAACCAACATACAGACCTACCAAGCCATAAACTAAACTAGAGACCTTCCAACCAACAGACTGCTGCACTGTAAACATCTTGTTACAACATCCCAACCAACCAGGATCAACTAAACTTCCTCTAATGGTGGAGAAACCTGTGACTTTACAATAAAGTCATGACTTGGTGTGAAATCAAGAGATCCCCCCCAATCTGAAAGAACAATATAATTTAAGAAACTTTTCACAATAACTGTATCTGATCCATGTTTTCTAGTATTTACATGTGAGATGTTTTTTTCATTTGTGTCCAAAAAGATATTTTAAACAAGAATTATCACTTTAGTTGCCACATCATTTCAACCAACTGATACTATTTTCAAGGTTTGCAATATGTCATTTAGCTAATTAACCAACCGACCGACCAAGTAACCACCACCCGACCAACCAACCAGCAAACCAACCAACTAACCAGCCACCCAACCGACCGACCAAGTAACCACCACTCGACCAACCAACCAGCAAACCAACCAACTAACCAACCAAGTAATCAACCAACCAAGTAATCAACCAACCGACCAACCAAACAACCAACCCATTACCTGACCAACCAACCAGCAAACCAACCAACTAACCAACCAACAAAACAACCAACCCATCACCTGACCAACCAACTGGCAAACCAACCAACTAACCAACCGCACAACCAACTGCCAGACCAAGAAACCAACCAACTGACTGAGTAACCAAGAAAGAAACAGACCAACAAACCAACCAACAGCCTAACCAACCAACCACCCACACGACCAAGAAGCCAACCAACCAACCGACTAACAGACCAACCAACAGACAGACCAACCATCCGACCGACTAACCGACCAACCAGCAAACCAAACTGAAAAACCAACAAACCAACCGACCAACCAAATTCTAGCATACTGTAGAATCAACCAACCAACTTTTGTCTTAACATACAAACTAGTGAACATTATTTCAATTAAACAATTTTTGGCCTTTATTGTGTAATACTAACCAATACTAACCAATTAACAGTAGTAACTCTGGTTGTATACCAAATGGTTTTTTTCACAAGTTGTTTACTAGTTCTGCTGAAAATTGAAATGTTTTCAGTTTTTCAATAGTTTCAACCAAAATAGTAGATTAAGTAGTGGTTAGCCTCTGGTTTTAACCGTCTCATTCTGTTTATTAACCAGCTGGTTAATAGATTGCTAGTTAGGCCTCCAGCTGATTGGAAGGTCCCAGTAAAACCAAACAGGAAGCTAGTAATGAAGCAGCTAGTTAAGAACATAGTCATTGGTTTTTGCAGCCAGGAGGCAAAGGGTTAATGTTTGATGTGTGTTTACCTGCTCTGCTCCATCGCCGTGGTAACCAGTGTTTCCTGTCCAAAACAAACCAGAAGATAGAGTTGAAAACATCTGCTGATGGATCACCGTCTAAGACCTGCCCAGGCAGCGGTTTAACTGCGGCTCCTCATCCCATAGCCTACATTTCCCATAATGCACCTGACAGCTGCTGACTCACCACAGGTTTGGAGATCTTGTGCCGGTCGTCCTGCAGACAAACAGTGAACGGTTAGTCTCTGGGGGGAGGGGTCAGGGAAGAGGTCAGATGTTCTCCTGGACTTACTGGGTGCAGCTCTCCGATCATCATGCTGGCGGCCATCTCTCTGGCGTCCGTTGAGTGGCCCACGTCCTCGAAGCTCTCGGTGGCGTTCCCTCCAGCCTGCTCCCTCAGCACCTCTTCCCCTCCTGGATGCTGAAAACAAAAACACAGATTCTACATCAGGTCCGGCATCTCTAGTCGTCCTTTAACGTCTCGGATAAGAACTTTCCAGACTTCCTTTAAGTCTTCCGGAGGTTTTCTTTAGCCGCTCATTGGTTCAGGTCTTTCAGACGAAAACAGAAACTAGTCCAACTGGACCTCTGCTCAGAAAAAAACCTTCAACCTCCTTTAACCTTTGACCCTGTCCCATATCAACAAGTTGGACTGTTTTTGGTGCAGTTCTTCTTTTTAAACATCGAGTTATTGGTTCGTAAAAAGCCCCAATTGGATCTGATGGTTCGGAAAATGGTTCTTTTTCCAGAAATCCGCCATAGATCCGAAACCACCTCATATTCTAAGTTACTAAAGAACCAAATGGAAGCCGATGGATGTATTTAGATTGAAAACCTAAAGCCGGGCTTACACTCGATACTGACATGATAATTTCAATCGTTGCTACAGCTCAGACTGTACGATGAAACCACAGGGTTTAAAAGTTCGCAGCTCGAGATCCTTTTGAATATGGCGACTGTTCTGATTGGACAACAAGCTTTAGGACTGTCCAATCAGAACCCAATTAGTCCAGATTTCCGGCTAAATAAAAACATTTTTAAACCTCTGCACATCCTGTCCAGAAAGTCTATAGAACAGTTTTCCTAATGCCATAAACTGAAAACTGGTGAAGATTCTCAGTCATACACTGCACTTTGTTTCCAAGTTTGAAGACGATTCGCTTCCCATCCAACAAGGTTTTGTTTTTGGTCCATTCTATAAACGCTATTTCTGACATTTTGAATTGAAAAAGCTTCCTGAATGGAAGAGAAACGTCTTCAAACTTTAAACCAAATCCAGTGGATTGTTTTTGTTTTTTACTTTTTTGGAATGCATAAACTTAATGAGTAAAATGAGCCGGAGGTTTCTTCCTGTTCAAAGGGAGTTTTTCCTCTCCACTGTCGCTACAAGCATGCTTAGTGTGAGGGATTGCTGAAGAGTCAATGAGTCGATGCAATCAGCTGGTTTTCCTTAGATAGAAAACTTTGAATCAATCTGACTGGATGATCTGGTGAACTGGAAAGTGACCTGAGATGACATGATGTGAATTGGAGCTATAGAAATAAACTGAATAGAATCTAATCATCCAGGTGTTGCTTTGCAGACGGCGGCTGCTCTCTGACATGCTGACGGTGCTTAATTATCCAGGTGAAAGGACTCGCTCACCCCCACCCCCCCATCCAGTCGGATCAGCGCCTCCTGCCAATGATTTACGGCAGCAAAGTGTGAGTCTTTACAACCAGCTTATCCTCTTCCTTCAGTGGATCTCCTGAAACAAAGACTGATTGTCCTGCTCACAGCTGATTGGCTGCCTGGCCTCTGACTAACCAGTAAGGAGGACACGCCCCCCCTGCCTTACCTCTGTGCAGCCAGCCCTCTGACTGATTACAGGCAGGCTGGAAGGGAGGGGTCCAAGGTCCAAAGGGGCCGTTTGTCTGTGTGTGAAAGTTCCTGCAGGATCAAATATCAGGGACTGAAGGATTATGGAGACAAGTTGCCTCTGGGTTCTGGACTGCAGGGTCCAAAGGGTTCTGAATAAACCAGCTGTGCAACTTCAGGGTAAAATAAAAGAAGCAGAACCAGGTGGGTTCTGAACACCAGTATCCTACTGGAGTGACTGGTTCCAGTTGATCATCACCTGCTCTACTGTTCAGAGATCTACAGGATCTGAGTGGGACAGAACAGAACTGGGTCCAAACAAACCTCTACCTGCTTAAGAACCGAACCAGAACCTTCCACAGGCTAGCCAGCAGCTGTCTGACTAGCTCATGGGCTAGCCAGCAGCTGGCCACTTGAGCTAACCAGCAGCCTGGTTAGCTCAAGTGCTAGTCAGCTGTTGACTAGCTCACGGGCTACCCAGCAGCTGTGGCTAGCCAGCAGCATGCTAGCTGAAGTGCTAGTCGGCTGTTGACTAGCTCACAGGCTAGTCAGCAGCTGTGGTTAGCCAGCAGTTGGCTGACTAGCTCACGGGCTAGCCAGCAGCCTTTAGCTCAAGTGCTAGCCAGCTGTTGACTAGCTCACGGGCTAGCAGGCTGCTGGCTAGCCTATGAGCTAGTCAGTAGCTGGCTAGCCCGTGAGCTAGTCAGATAACTGCTGGCTAGCCACAGCAGCTGGCTAGCCCGTGAGCTAGTCAGATAGCTGCTAGCTAGCCACAGCTGCTGGCTAGCCCGTGAGCATGCTGTTGGTATCAAATCTACTTGGGGCCCCGCCCTTTCTTATGACATCATCATATGGCAACTCCACTCGGACAAACTGCATCGCACCCGCTTCTTAAGAATCAAATCTCTTTTGGAGCCTCATCACATTAGCTAAAAAGTCTCAGCTTATTTTTATTATTTTTATTAATCAATTATTATTAACTGATTAATAAAAAATTACTTTCGTAGAGATTTTAGAAAATAAAAGTTATTCTACTTGTAGAAAAGGAACGGTTGTTGTTGACACGAATTTAAAAGTAGTGTAGCTTAATGTGGCTAACTGACCAAGCTAAAAGAGGCTAACCTGTTAGCTACTGAGCACAGCTAGCCACAGCGCTACCCAGCTCTTTATATCACGGTCTAACAGTTACTTTGTTCATCAGAAACTGATATTTTTTAGTTTTATTATCGATCAGGTTAAACTTAATCGGTCATTAGACACGCTAACGCTACAGATGCTCCTGACTCGGCACATCGATGCTGCGTGATGTTATTATCGTTGTCGGGGCAACCACTATGTTTTACATCATGAGGGATGTTTCAGCCAATCATGTAGCGTAACGTCGATGGCAGGAAGCAGATCTGGTTCCTACAGCGGGTTTGAATCCCCTGCTGGAGGGAATGAGCTGCCAGTGTGGGTCCTTAGGCCAGACCCTCAACGCTAACGCCGGCTAATGAAGGTTCAGCTAAATCATAAACACAGGAGCCCGGATAGACGGACGATCTGATGTTCAGAATCTTTTTATGTTGGTTCTGCAGAACCAGAGTTCTGGTTTTGGTTCTATAAATCAGAACCGTTCTCTAACAAGGATTGGTTAGAACCCCGCCTGGTTCTAAAGATGGTCTAAACTAAAGCAGAAACCGACCCGCATGGATCTGGTTTTTAACCAGAGTTGGTTTATTTCTGGGTCTCAGCATCTTCTGGTGCAGAACTTCCAGAACTTTAAGGTTCTGGTTCTAAAACTGGTACCAGAGCCACGACCATCCAAAGGAGACGGTTCTGTCGTCTTTAAGGGACGATGTGAGGGCGTCAATCATTCCTCCATGTTCTGCAGCTCAGCCAGAAGCTCCTGCTTCCTGTGAAACAGGAAACAGGAAGTCATGCCCAGTGGAGGCTTACTGGTTCTGGACTGGTTTTAACGCTCTGCTGGTTTTTCTTTCTGGGTTTTCTAAACTCAGCGTATCTGGAGGATCTTTGATGCCTCCAGGTTTAAACAGGAACCCAAAGATCAAAGGGCGGAGCTTTTTAGAGGTTTAAAACGTCCAAACTGGAATCTAGAGGTGCTAAAACTAGAATGTTCCTTTAGATCCTGTCTCCTTCCAAACCAGTTCCTTTTCTTCATCATTATCATCATCAGATGTTTGAATGGATCAGATCTGAGTTGATCTCTCTTTGAACCGTTAAATGTATTAAACCTGAACATTAGATCTTTAATCTGGTTTTAGTTATTAAATTATAATTTCTTAATAACAATAAAATAAATAATAATAAATAAATAATAAATATCAGAATCAGTTGATTTAAAAGCCAGATGTTAGCAATATTACACCACTGGAAAAACCTATGTAGATATTTTAAAATAGATTAAGTTCTATTAACTTTATGCAATTATTGATGAATGATTAATGGGCCTGGTCCCCCAGAGCCTGTTCCTCCATAGCTACGCCTCTGGACAACTTTCAGTTAAATGTAATTTAAAGTTAATTCAAAGATGGGGAAAAAAAAAATTGGAATTTAGATTTTTGAGTTTAAAGTGGCATATTTACGAGAATAAACATCAAAATGTATGAGATTATAAATATGCTAATTTAGAAGGAAACAATTAAATAGGCTAATTTAAGAGAAAAATATTACAATTTTATGGGATTGTAAGCATGCAAATTTAAAGGAAAATTTCATTAAGTTTAGGAGAAAAAACAAAGAAATTTACGAGATTATAAAAATGCAAAATTAGAAGGAAACAATAAGCAAATGTACGAGAAAAAAACAATTTGGCAAATTTATGGGAAAAAAAATGGAAATTTACGAGATAATAAAAAAATAAAATATGCAAATGTAACAATGGTTTCATGTTAGCAGGGTAGGAAATAAAACACGTTTGTTAAAGTAACTAAATTTGATTCAGTAAATGCCAAAAAAAGTTGCATAATGTTTTTCAGTGTACGAGAAAAAACGTAAATTAAAGAGAAATTTTTTTATAGCACATTTATGAGAAAAACATGCAAATTTATTGTATCATTAATTTTTACTGGAATTAAAACTTTCCATGAGGCAGTTTACCGTCTCTATCGCTAAATCCCCTAAATTAATGATGCATCTGCTTTAAGTAGCATACTTTAACGTGGATTATAATCTCGCATACAGATTTTAATCTGGCAAACTAGCTACTATTTTCACTTTTTTTTTCTTTTTTGCTATTTTTCTCTTATATTTGTATTTTTTAATGTCGTAAATTTGTGTTTTTTTGCTCATAAAAAAGTCACTTTAAACTTAAAAATTTTAATTCCATTTTTTTCTTTGAATTGTCCTAAACTCCCCAGAATGTGCCCATCACAATAAAAGCAGAGAACTTTCTCCCCACCTCGTCCAGAAACTTGGTTACATCGTAGACTTTGTTGTGGATGATGATCCAGGTGGACTTGAAGGAGTTCTGGGCTTCGATCTCAGACAGTCTGAAGTATTTCACCCCATCGGGGCTTTTCTCCTCTTTCTCACCCATCTCTGTCGGTCCGTCGGTTTGGAGGCCAAGAGGAGCAGGAGGAGCTACTCGGCCTGAGGGAGGTTATGTAATCCCGGCGAGAGACTCCGGACCGTGACTCCGCACAAACACTCCGACATTTAACCCACAGACTCGCCTCCAACTTGCAGCGATCCCAAGTTATTCACGTCCAAGTTCAGCCCAGGTTGGAACGACTTCCGGTTGGACTTTTCAGAATAAAGTTCCATGAGAAAAAAAATCTGCTTTTTATGGAGGAGGATTAGGGCCACTGAAGAAATAAAAAAAGTTAACTGATTTTTAAATATTATTTCAGTTTAGTATGGAAAAAAAGTGAGAATTCTGACTTTGTTCTCAGAATTCTGACTTATCTGCGAATTCTGACTTTTTTTCCTCAGAATTCTGACTTTTTTCCCCAGAAATCTGACCTTAATGTCAGAAATCTGACTTTAATCTCAGAATCATGGATCTTAATGTAGATGGGCCTCATGAACACAGAGATGTGGAGGACTCACTTCACTGACAAAGATGTGAGTTTTTTGGGAGAAACAGGAACACATTGGTGGAAAATGATGAGATTAGGCGACTTTTTACGTGCCCAACGGGTGATGCTATTTCATTAATGGAAGAGCAGAAGGAAAGTCAGAATTCTGACTTTTTTTGTGATATTAAATAGAAACAAAATAAAAAAAATCAGTTGACTTTTATTTTTTTCAGTGACCCTAATCCTCTTCCATAGCTTTGGGATAAATTTGAATTAGTTGATTTAGAAATCTGTGATTAAGAAAACATTTATATATTAAAAAAAAAGTGAAATAAAAGTAATTGATAAAATGTTAAATACCATAAATACAATCATATCACTCATATCACTCCTATTAAATAATAAAAAAGGAGATAAAATAACATTTGCCTGTACCTCTGAAAAATATAGATCTAGTGCTTCAAACGCTCAAATCATCTAACAAAAATTCAGTTTCTAAAAAGTTATATATATAAAAAATTCAGCTCGAAATAAAAACAAAGTTCTTAAACTAACAAAATATTAAGAAAAAGTTAAAAAATATTAATTGTTGTTTTAAGAAGATCCCATTTTAAAATAATACAATGGGTAAAAAATTAAACATTATGAGGTGCATATTAAACTAAAAAATGGTGGATGTTGATTTAGCTGTTTTTATTTATTAGTTCAGCCCACAATTAATAATATTTAATTTATATTACTAATTTAACTATTTGCTCTCTGCTTATTGTATATTACATTATTAAATTGTATTGTTAATCCTGTGGTTATAATTTAGGGTTTTAATTTGAAAGAATAGGCCGTGTTCTGATCAGATTGTCTTTAAGATTATAGCTTCACCAAACAGAACCTTACACGGACACTAGTACCGCCCTTACACTTGTTCTACAACCCCATTGGCTCTTCACTTCCTGATTGTTAACCAAGCGAGTTGTTGATTGGTTTCCCTCTACGTCAATCATCACCACTGTGGGCGAGAATTGTAGGGCAAAAGCAGGCCAAAGTTCATGAAAGTTCAGCAGTTTTTAAAGGAAATCGCCTTCTCACGCAATAATTCCGCCTTCTCACGTAAGGATGGTTCATCTCACGCAGCCCCACGGACTGCGCGTGGAATGCGTTGCTGGCTGCTTCTAGCAGGCAGTCAGAGGTCCTGGTTTATTTATGCTGAACTTCATCTGGATAATTACCAGCTTGTAAAATGTGAACAGCACAGCTTCCTGTTTAACAGACAAGCTTTGTTTTTATTACTTTCTGCGGCGGGAAAAAACCCCCAGTAAAAAGTCAAAGATGGTCTCTTCTAAAAGATGCACTCAGTTGAACTAGAGAGGAGAAGCAATAAAACTTTTACTTAGATATTTAAAATTCGTTATGGACTGTATTTAAAGAAGTATAATGAATACTTTTTCTTTTATTTTAATGTACTTTAACACATTTATTAAAAACAACGCTTACGAGAAACACATTCCGTTAAATATATTATATAAGGAGTGGAACCTCTGTTAGCATTTTACCCAGCTTTGGTTTGAGCACACATTTTTAATAATTTCGAGCTAATTTGGATAATTTAATATTTCTCTAAGAGCTGGTTTGAATTGAAAAAGGATTCCAGAGAAAGAAACGTAAGAACTTTGTTAAATATATTTTAATTTAACATTTTAGCCCGAAATATGACGCTGAATTCAGACAGACTGGGGTTAGCTAGTTTAGCTAAGGAGTCACTCTGAGTTTAAGTTATTACTCATTTTTATCCTATTAACAGTTCTTTTTATTATTGATATGATTCTTTTTAAAACACAATAAAGCTATAATTTGCTGTAAGGTTATTAGTATTTTTATACTATTAATATTTTTTGCTGAAGCCTTTGCTAGTGTTATATTTATTTGCTCAGCTCTTCGAAAAAGTAATTTACAATTTTTTATGACGTATTAAAGTATGAGAAAAATAGTTTATGTTAAAAATAAAAAAAAACTTGTTTTAAAAGAATAAGAAAAAATAAGAAAGTTTGAATTTATAAATTCTATAAATCATGTGAATTTGATAAAATATATATTAAAAGGAATTTTTACATTTATGTGATGCTTAAATGATGCAAATGAAAAAAAAAAACAATCTGACTGACTGCATCCATCCATCCATCCATCTATCCATCCATCCATCCATCCATCCATCCATCCATCCATCAGGATGAGTAGATCCGGCTCCAAGTCCCTCTTCTTCCTGGGTCTCCCTGATCTGGACCAGCTGGTCTGCGTCAGGCTGAGTCAGAGTCCTGATGAAGAGGAGGAGCTCAGGTCCAATCAGATCAGGATCTGCAGGTAAATATGGAGCAAAAAGTCGCCTGTTTGCAGCTGATTCTCCATAAACTTCACCTCTTTATTCCTGCTTCCTTCTATACGTTTTATTTTTCCCACAGAGAGCTGGTGCTGCTTCACTCAGACATTCTGGCCTGTCCTGCTCTGGACTCCATCTCTGACATCACAGCCGTCACGACTGTAAGATAATCAACAACCATTTAATCGCATTTAAACACATTAGAGACAGAAAACAGGCGGCCTGGAATCCTCATGTTGAGATCAGATTGCTTAACAAAATAATTTAACAACTATGGTGGTTTTTTGCACATCTCTGCTAGTTTTAATTTAACATTTCTATTTTATTTCCTCATTAAAAGAATTAAAACTTCAGACCAGCTCAATATTATGTCATATTATTTATATTTGAGTTATTTATTTTACATTTATTTGCTTGCTTATTTAACTAGCATCTACAGTCCTGCTGGGAAACGCGCTAAATTTTTCATGTCAATAAAAATATTTTAATTATTAGTCAATTTTTCAATGGTATTGATTATTGAATATTTATTGCATATAATTATAGGTGTTATAACCCTACTAATTACATAAAATAATTAGAATAACCGTTAATACGCCCATTTTTCCCTTTGTCTAATTTATATTTTGCATTTTATTATCAAAACTTAAATAAAATAATAAAACCAAAAGGGGTTTTCCATTCTGCCCAGTTTTTTGTCTGTTTATTGACTTTAGTCCCTTAATGATAGTTTAATAATGGGTATAATAAATATATATATCCGTATCAGGCAGTAATACTCTCAAGTGATTCTACAGTTATGTTCTCAATATTTAAAACATTTTAATTTGTCATAGATTAACAATTACTTGACCACTTAAACCCTGTGGTTAATGATGCAAATAAATATTCTAATATTAAAGAATCCGTGATCTTTTCAGAACTAGATTTTTGTTTTATAGGGTAAAGAAAAAAATGCAACTCAGTCTTCAGTAAAATAATAGATAAATAAATATAATTTTTGTAGATATTAGTACTTGTAAATATCAGTTTTATGCAGAATGAAAGGTCAGTAATGACGATGGAAAGGATTCGGACCCAGAACTCAAACCTGAAAGAACTTTATCCACAAGAACTTTTATCTAGATGAATGTTTGCGTCTGAACACGCTGGCCCCCTTGCTACATTTGGTCTAGAACCGCCCCTGGCATTGATGACTGAAAGACATCTTCTGCCTCCATTTATCTGTTTACTACAGTCTGTTCAATTCATGTTAATGTGGATTTAAAGACATTTAATTAGTGGAAAAAACTGCAGGAGGGAATATAAAAAAAAAAGTCTAATCAACCATGCAGTACCTCCATGGATCCACTATTGAAGATCTCTGCTTTACATTATAAATGAAGTTAATATCAGTTCAGAGATGCATCAGATGAAATAAAAACATTAACTGGAGTCTTTTCGTTGTTTTAATGTGAGGTCCGAGCAGCGGCTCTGCAGCTCTGACCTCTCAGGAAACCAGCAGATTGTTCTCCGGCAGATTTCCAGTTTGAGATGCGAAGCTGACATGAAACATGAATGGCTGCCGTGGAAACGTTGCACGCAGGCATGCAGAGTCTGCACGCCACCTCTGTCTGCTCACACGCTACCTGCATCCACACATTATCGCCCTGCAGCAGCAGCAGCAGAGGAAACTCCTTCCTCTGCTGCGGATTGTTATCATTCCTATCGGGTGACGTTTCTCATCCAGGGTGTCGTTTGACGCGTCACTGCGGCTCACATCCATCCAGGGGGAAAGTTTCTCCTTCAGAACTGTTGGGAACAGTTCAGTTTCAGGTTTCAGTCAGACTTTCACACAAACAGAGAAAAGTTTGAGTTCAGGAAATATTTCTAAATCTCTCAGTGAAGCTAAAAAAGCCATGAAACTTTCCCCCTTATCTGATGACTGAGAAACATTTGGCTCATCTCCTAAAATCATCCTGGTTTTGCTGAATCTGTCATGACTCAGCACTTTTTAGTTTTATTTTTTTTTTAGTTTTTCTGTGTTTTCTAGTTGTTTTTGATTGTTTTTGACTTCTTAGGTTTTGTTTGCCCTCTGCTGCCCTCTTGTGTCAGTCTCTTTTTCCCCCCCAGCTCCCTTCTAGCCTCCTCTGTCCACACCTGCTCCCGATTAGCCTGCTCTTTGTTCAGTCACCCGATTATACACCTCATGTTCAGTCACTGTTCGCCGTAGTTTGCCTTTTAGCTAATTGCATAACCGATCCCCACGGTTCATGAAGCTTCATTTTAACATGTCGCCCCCTACTGGTGAAGTGCAGAACTACAGTTAGTGATATAAAGGTGATTTTTTTGCAGATGTTTTACTTGTTTTTTTTCCCCATTTAAGTTCCTTTGAAATTGTTAATGATTGGTGAGTATAATAAAATGTTTTATACGTTTTTTTTTGTGTGCAAAATGTCTTAGAAGAGAAAATCACTTATGGTTCACTGTTTTTCTACCATTTTAGTGAAATAAGCTCAACCAGATGATGAGCAAAATGAAAGTTGTTAGTAATTTTTATTCAAAATCTAGTTGGAAGTTATGTATTCAACCAATCTTTTAGATAAACCAACCAATTTAATTTGATAGTGTTTTTACTAGGGATGCACGATGCACAAAAATAAGTAGTCATTGAAAATAGCAGTTTTGTTATCCATTTCTGACACTTTGAAAAATAATAAACTCAAATATATTTTCATATTCTGATATCAAATAGATTTTTAAAAACGCGGTATCGATCTATTTTACTTTCAAAATCTGGTGAAATTTCATCGTTCTGTTACAAACTCTCGTGATATTTTGCAAATTCTTGTGAGATTTTGTTAGTAAAATAGATCGATACCGCGTCAATATATCAACATATAAAAATATGGCAACATTTGGTGAATTTTCGGGGGATTTCGTAGCATAACGATGACATACAGCAATATTTCATTAGTAAAAGAGATTGATATGGTGTTTTTAAATGGCAATATATCAGCATATGAAGATATTGGGATATTTTAATGGTTAAATATCGGTGGGGTGGCCGATGTCCGATATTCAGTTTTAAGGCCGATACCGATAGGGGGCCGATTATATCGTGCATCCCTAGTTTTTACCCAATCTATGTTGGTAAAAGGGCAAACTAATACAAATTGGTCACATTGGCCAAAATACTGGTTTGATAGTATAGCAACTTATAATAGTTCATATCAAGGATTGAACCAACAACTTACTTATTATGACTTACTGAAGATGCCATGTCTATGCTGGTGCATCCTTAGAAAGCAGCAGTATAAAGCACTAATGACCCAACTGTAACCAGCAGCTTGTTCAAATTCTGATTATTATATTGTTTGATCTGACCAAAATTGTTTTAATCAGCTAGATTGGTTGTTTTTCTGACCAATCTATCCAAACTCTGTCCAACTCTCCTACAAACTCCCACATCTTGACTGAATACTGAGGGTGTCGAAGTTCGGGTTGATCTGAACCACTTCCTGAAGCAGTCACATGGTATGGTGATAGCGATGCTCATCTATTTTGGCTCCTCCCCCAAATGAAGCAAGCCTCCATGAGCGCTTCGGGGAAACGCCCCCCTCTGATACCCACTAACTCACACTGAGCCTGGTTCTGCTGGAGGTTTCTTCCTGTTCAAAGGGAGTTTTTCCTCTCCACTGTCGCTACAAGCATGCTTAGTGTGAGGGATTGCTGAAGAGTCAATGAGTCGATGCAATCAGCTGGTTTTCCTTAGATAGAAAACTTTGAATCAATCTGACTGGATGATCTGGTGAACTGGAAAGTGACCTGAGATGACATGATGTGAATTGGAGCTATTGAAATAAACTGAATAGAATTGAATTGAATACTCGACTTGTTTTGCTCCCCGTTTGTTTTTTATTTTTCTATTTTTGCCTCTGTTGTCTTGGACGTGTGATTAAATCTACTAAACTCACCTCTAGCCTCCTCAGAAACCTCCACTAAAGCTGACAGAATCAAAACTCAGCTTCGCAGCTAGAAATCTAGTTTTTCTTTTCATTTCTTTTTTTTTTTACTGTCTTTCATCATAATAAGCTCTTTAAAACCTCAAGATGAAGCAGAATCCAAACTCAGAGGATGGAAACTCCCTCCTGGGCCTCAGAATGAGGCGAAGGCAGAGGTAGTCTGGGATTATTAGAGTCCTTATCAGAGAAACGCAGAGAGAGCTGAGCAGGAAGGGGGCGGGGTTAAACACAGGAAGCCCAGCAGGCAGGAGGTCAGGGCTCCAGGAGCTGCTGCTGAGCTCCACACCTCCTCCTTTCTCTCTCCCACGCGTAACGTTTGCTAAATCAGTAAATCAAGATCTGTTAACTTTACATAAACACCTCAGAGATTAAAGCCTCGCCACCATGTTTGGATTCTTTCCTTTTTGATGCAATCAGATGCTCTGAGATGGTTGCTAACCTTCATCTGTGTTTTCCTTCCAGTTCCAGTTCCTTCAGAGCGACTTCCTGCAGGCCTTTGTGTTCAGGAACCGTCTGCAGGTGAAGCCCTGTGCAGTATCACCTGTGTGCAGCCATCTTTGTTTCCACGGTTACCTTATACCTGTGTGTGTTTGCAGCCGGGCTGTCCTCAGAGAGTCTATCCAGGGGACGTCCAGTCCGCGCTGTCCTACTCCCTGATCGCTCGCTTGGCTCCCAGCTGGAACAAAGCTGGACTCTACCTCATCGCTGGTTCGTATCGCCATGGTTACACACCCGCCGCCGGGGGGTCCAAGGCCCTCATGTTACTTCCCCAACAAAAAATAGCACCGCTAACCATCAAAAAGCTGAAATAAAGCCAAACATCAACATTTTAACTTTATTTTTAGACGTTTCCTTTAGATCCATTTCATATGGAAGACCATTAGGGCCATTGGAAAAAATAAAGGAAGTTAAATGATTTTTTTTCTTTCGTTTGAGTCTAATATGTGGAAAAAAGTCAGAATCTGAGAATCCTGAGAAACAAAGTCTGAATTCTGAGATTAAAGTCAGAACTCTTACTATTTTCCCATATTATACTAAAATAATATTAAAAAATCTGTAAAATTTCTGACTTTAATCTCAGAACTCAGAATTTATTTCTCAGAATTCTGAGATTAAAGTTAGAATTTTGACTTTTTTCCTGTATTAAACTCAAATAATATAAAAAATCTTGAACTTTAAATTTTTTTTCCCTAGTTGCCCTAATCCTCTTCCATAGTTTCACAAGTGGAAGAGTTGAAACGGAGAATATTTCTGGTTCTGCTCAGAAGTAAAATCCTCAAAAGAAAATAAAAAAAATTAAATAAATCAGGATTCAGGAAAAAACATTTTAATGATGATGATTATATTACATAATGAAAAATCAAAAAAATGCTAATATATGAATAAAAAATAGATTAAAAGCAGACTGATTAGGTCATATTGATCAATGGAAATAGAGATAATAAAATAAATACTGATAATAATAAATAAGCTTAATATTTAAAAACGATAAACAATAAAACTGAAGTCATGTTTTCTCCAGTAAACGATTCCTTCATTAAATCATTAGATGATTATTTCAATAATTGATTAATCAGATTAATTTTATTGTCTACCTGTCGTACAGGTGATGGTGGTGACAGTAAGCGTTAGCCTAGAGTTAGCCTAAAGCTAACCCAGAAGCAGCTCCACTCTGCAGGGAAAACCAGCAGCAGCGTGTTTGGAGTTTATTAGGATCAAGGCTGCTGAGCGCCTCTGGATCAAAGTCTCATGTGTGGCGCAATAGCTGCACAAGCCTTGACCTTTGACCTCCCCAGATAAATGTCTGTGAAACAGGGGCGGGTCTAGGATTCTAGATCAGGGGCCCTGAGGGTGAAGATGAGAATGTAGACTTTCAGGTAAATCCTGTTCTAATGTAAAATATGACAGATTACTGGATTAAAGACATTTCTAGTATACAACATGATATCACATGTAACAGTTTTTGAGAATTTAGGAAACAGTTGCTTTTTATTTCCAATAAATATGGGAGGAGGAGGATAATCTGGCTGAGCTGCTCTGTGGTTATAGTCCCTGTGAGAAACAACGGATCATCAGACAGGAATAGATATTATTAGTAGGAATAGAGGCCCCAAAATGTGGGGGGAATAAGCTAAATCTAGATAAGTTATTTTTCCTTAAAATTAGTGCATTTGTTCTTCAATTGAGGAGATAAAAGAGACATTTTGCCAATGAAACAAGACAATTTAGGTTTAAAATAAGAAAACATAATTGCATTGTCTTATTTGAAGTGCATATTATCTAATTATCTTATTTTAAGAGTAAAAATAATCCATATTTCTTTTGGCAATCTATCTCATTTTCCAATTCAAATCAACGGTTACGCTTAATTTAAGAAATTTCTACTTTTTTTAGGTAATTATTCCAGAAAACACTTATTGTTTTGAGATCAGGCTGCACAGGAATTTACCATCAGCCTTCAGTCTTTTACTGCTGGCTCTACGTGGCGAATCCAATATTCCGTATTTGTTGGACTTTTCCGCCTTGAAGTGAGCGCTCTCATCCAAGATATTATTCCATCTCACCTTTGAGTTCAACCAGCGCAGCCAGGCTGCGTTTAATCGCATAGCTAGCATACGGCTCAGCTAACGTACCATAAATCTGATAATCTAAACATCTTCAATATCCTCCACTGACAACATTGTGAAACGCACCGTCCTCCAAGCCTTCCAGGAGTCCATGGTGTATCCCATGAAGTATGTCCCGCCAGGACAGGACGGCTCCCCTTTTCCCTGCCTTCCATTTGAGAAAATTTTGTCGCATTGCGAGACCAGATGACCAGATCCATTGTTTGAGTTCAGGTGATTGAAGAGAGATCAGAAAAGACCAGAAACAGCAAAGCAGGGAGGTTCAGATCAGCGGGAAAATGCGACTGAATCCTTCAAGAGTCAGAAGAGAAGAGTGATGTGTGAAGCTGATGCAGTGGCCTAGTCAAAGTCCTGATTAAAATGCTGCAGTGGGAGATTTAGCCCGGGTTTTAAGTTTGAAATAACTTCAGAAATCCATGTTTATACTCAACAACTAAGCAACTATATATCCAGAGCTAGTCCTACAGTTAGCTTCACTACCCCATATTCCACTAAAAAGCTTTGCTAGCGCTAATGTGCTAATGTGCTAAAAGAAAACAATAGTTAATCTATCAGCTGTTAATAGATCAGCTGTGGATTTTTCTCTTTTGCAGGGAAAGAAACGTTTTACTGATAAGTTTGTAAAAACCAAACATATCAGCAAAAACACCTCCTCCCTACCTTAAAGCACGGCGGTGGCGCCCTGATGGTTCGGGCCTGCTTTGAAACAGACTGGTAATTAAACAAGAACAGGTTGTTTTTTTTAATTAAAGAGGAATTTGGACGTAAAACTACTGGAGGTTTTTACTGTTGGATCATTTCAGGTGTTTTTAGAGCTGCTGCTGCCCTCAGGTTGTTCCTCAGACCTCAGACGGCGTTTAACGTGTTTTTATTACGGTTGGATTACTGTTGGACCGTTCTGATTTGATGATCTGTGAATAGAAATTGATGCTGCAGATGTTTTCTTCCGTTGTTCTAGGAGAAGACTTCCTGATGGAGAGGGGGAGGCTCAGCGCTGTCAGTGAGTCCTGCTCTGATCTTCTCTCCTCCTCCACCTTCCAATCATCCAGCTGTTCCTTCCTAACCTGACGGGTCTGTTTGTGTTCAGGCATGGAGCTCAGCACCAGCGAGGGCCGACTGTGCCTCAGCATCGAAGCAGGAGCGGTGCGAATGCCGCCGCCCACGGTGAGAGAGCCGTTCCACGGAGCAGGAGGAATCAGCTCTGAAGGAGAGACCAGGAACCAAGACTTCTTTTCTTTATGTTTCCTTTCAGCTGGAGGACTTTCAGCTTCCAGCTGCGGTGCTCAGGAGGTTCTGCTGGGACCCTGAAGCCGTCCTGAATCCGTCCTCTACAGGTGGACCCACCTGGTGTCACGTCCTGCCCAGGTGAGGCAGCACCACCTGGTGGACATCACAAAAACCTCACCTCTCTGGCGTAAATCTCTGCTGCAGAAACCTCTATGCTAATTTCACAAAGGAAACCTTAGATTTTCACTAATGGCAGAAAGTTGTGAATTCAATAGAACAAAATTATCATTTTCTATCATATAAGTTCAAATGGATCAAAATGAATGTAGGGTATTTTCTGATGTTTTAAAGGAAAAGTCCGGTCAGCACTAAATAATCAGTGGATCATTATTTATACCTGAAACTAATTCGTTTGAGGTGATTTAATGAATTTAGCTTTAATCAATTAAAAAAATAACAATTTTCTTCGTGATCACTGAGTCTGGGAGCGGCCATTTTTGTCCAAATATAGTAGCCCCTCCCTCCTGCCATCTTCCAGCAGTGACGTCACGGTGCGGTAAGCCTAGCGCCATTCTCCCCGCTTTACAAGCTAAATCAATGGGAACTACTAGACACATCTGCAATCAACAACAATTATTGAAGATTTCCAGAGGACTTCACCATTGAAATTCACCAGAGCTATAGTGAAACTGACAATGCCCACGTGCATGGCAGCTGGATGCTGGAATACATCGGGGAAAAGTGGAAAAAAAATTATTTCAGCTTTCCGATTTAATAGTGCCAATTCAGGTATATATATATGTATATACCTATATGAGCATATTAGTTCATTTGCATCATTAATACATTTAAATCATGAATTATTCCACTGGGTGTTTATGCATTCATTAACCTCAGCCCTCTGGCTCTGATGCAGTTGCTGTAATGCTGGCTGTGTCCAGCAGGTGGGGCTGCAGCTCTTCCTGCAGACCTCTGAACATGTTGCTTTTATTCTCTGCAGCATGAAGAAAGGTCAGATCATCACCATCAGCCGCCAGCTGCCCAGAGACGGACCCTTCAGAACCTACAGGGACCTGCAGAACCACTGGAACCGCCTGGTAAACACTCACCCGACCCAAACCGCTGCAGCCATTTATTTCAGGTTCCCTCCATCGTTTGTGCACCAGTGTCGATCAATATGGTGGAGACTAAGCTGGGAACGCTGGTTGTTGATGTTTCCAGTACGGCTACAGGCTTCCTCAGCTGCAGGAGGAGGAGGTGGTTTACTGCAGCGTCTACTTCAGGCCTGTGGGAGAAAGACTCTTCACGTATCCTTCTGACAGTCGCAGCATCACAGAACCACTCTGATCACCATAGCAACAGAAAATAAATATTTATGAAACATTTCTACCAATTAAACCAGCAACCAAGGCGCTCAGCTACGGCGGAGTATCAGGGCCATTTTTTTTCCTATTTCGAGAATAAAGTCATAATATTATGAGAATAAAGTCGTAATATTATGAGAATAAAGTCGTAATATTACGAGAATAAAGTCATCAAACCAAAACCCGTTTCAGAAGGAGAGTTTGGAGCTCCGCCCAGCAGATGACGGCCGACCAGCTCCACCAATCAGCAACCAGAGTCCACTTTGACCTCTTGCCCAGTCCTGCCCCTTATTATTCAAACCGATGCTAAAGTATAACTTCACATGATGCTCCACATTCCTCGTTTTAGGGAAGAAAGGGCTTCTTGGAAGAGTTGCTATAAAATACAACTTGTTTCTCGTAATTTTAGGACTTTATTCTTCTAAAATTACAACTTCTGAGGAATCTAAAGAGAGAAAACGTGTTCATTGGCCTGTAGCATGCTAAAGTTAGCTATAAAGATGCTTGTAGCTATGGAGACAAACACATATTTGCTTTCACAATATGTGTGTTATGATTGGCTTTACACATATTTCTTTTATACGTTTGCTTATCGTAAAAACAGTTTCGCTTACCGGTGGTGAGTCTGATGTAGTGGAAAAATTGCACATTTTAGAAAGTAAGCTTGTATTAGCGATGCAAGCAGCAACTTTTAAACAGAGCGTGCACGAGGAGAAATGGACTCGTGCACACCCTTGCACGCGTTTAATCTCTTTACAACTTGTTTCTCATAATTTTAGGACTTTATTCCCGTTATGTTACAACTTTATCCTCAAAATTTTATGACTTTATTCTTGTAATGTTACGACTTTATTCTCATTATTTTACGACTTTATTCCCATAATATTACGACTTTACTCTCGTAATATTATGATTATTATCGTTGCAACTTTATTCTATTTTACGATTTTAGTCCCGTAGTGTTACGACTTTATTCTCGTAATTTTGCAACTTTATTCCCATAATGTTACTTTATGCTCAACATTTTACGACTTTTTTCTCGTAATGTTAAGACTCTATTCTCATAATTTTGCGACTTGATTCCTGTAATGTTACGACTTTATTCTCATAATTTTACGACTTTATTCCCGTAATGTTACGACTTTATTCTTATAATTTTACGACTTTATTCCCGTAGTGTTACGATTTTATTCTCATAATTTTACGACTTTATTCTCGTAATGTTACGACTTTATTCTTATAATTTTACGACTTTATTTCCGTAGTGTTACGATTTTATTCTCATAATTTTACGACTTTATTCTCATAATGTTACGACTTTATTTCCGTAGTGTTATGACTTTATTCTCTTAATTTTACGACGTTATTCCTGTAATGTTACGACTTTATTCTCGTAATGTTACGACTTTATTCTCGTAATTTTGCAACTTTATTCTCGTAATGTTACAGCTTTATTCTCGTAATTTTGCGAGTTTACTCTCGTAATGTTACTTTATTCTCAAAATTTTACAATTTTAGTCTCGTAATTTTATGACTATTATTGTTTCTACTTTACTCTCGTAATTTTACGACTTTATTCTCGTAATGTTACGACTTTATTCTCATAATTTTACAACTTTATCCCCGTAATGTTATGACTGTATTCTCGTAATTTTGCAACTTTATTCCCGTAATGTTACATTATGCTCAACATTTTAAGACTTTATTCTTGTAATGTTATGACTTTATTCTCATTATTTTACGACTTTATTCCCATAATATTACGACTTTATTCTCGTAATATTATGATTATTATCGTTGCAACTTTACTCTCGTAATTTTACGACTTTATTCCCGTAATGTTACGACTTTACTCATGTAATTTTGCGAGTTTACTCTCGTAATGTTACTTTATTCTCAAAATTTTACGATTTTATACTCGTAATTTTAAGACTATTCTCATTGAAACTTTACTCTCGTAATTTTACGACTTTATTCTCGTAATAGAAGAACAAACATTTTCTAGCCTGGCCCTAATACTCCGTCATACTCAGCCGCACGGTTCCAGCCTTTAACCTCCACATGAACAGATACCCCCTGAGCTGCATCCGCCTGCTTCCCGTGCAGCAATGTCCCCACGTCGACCTGCAGGTGGCGCTGAGTCACTTCCTCTCTGATATCAGAGAGCGGCTGCAGACCGTGTGTGGCTTTCCAGCCCGTCTGACCAGTAAACCCAGTTACCACACAGTCAGCCTGAACACCGCCGCCTCCATCCAGGTAAATATATCCTCCATCAGACGCTCTGCTGAGCCGCTTTCCTCTGCAGCTAAAGGGAAATATTGAAAAATAATAACAGGTGAATCCAGTTCCTTTATAAAGAAAATCAAAAGGATCTTTACATAACATGGAAGGCTCCATGTTTTTGTTAATAAAAAAATGAAAGTGCATTATTATATTTTAATAATTTATTCTTCCAGCTGTGATAAATAAAATCTAAATAAATAAAAACATGTTTATATTAAACTTATGACCTAAGTCATAAGTTCCTGAATGGAGTTTTTTTTTTATTTTCCTCTGAACAAACCACAAATGTAAAACTGAAGACATTTTACACAATAATTACACATTTATAGCAATGATTTGTACAATTTTACAAAAAAGAAAGAAAAAAAAAAGGTTAAAAAAAACAACTAAATCATGGTTTTTGAAGCTCTACCGCCCCCTGGTGGAACTCCTGACTTATTAAAACGTGTAGCAAAGAGAGAAGAAAGGAAGTTTAAATTTTTTTGTCAAATTAATTTTACCTGAGATCTAAATTAACCAATAAAGGTAAGATCTGTCATCAGGGAGCTGATTTCATTTCCACAGCCTGGACTTTGACTTTATCTCTATTTGGCCTCACTGAGAGCATAAAGCTGGAGGAGTGATTATTCCAGCGCTTCCACCCAGTAAAACGTTTAGACAGTTTAACAACCTCAGAGCTGCAGAGGAGGGAGCTTCCTGTGAATTAATGTTCCTGAGGTCGACGTCAGGAGAAAGGAGGCCACTTTGGATGTAAACCATGTATGGATGCTGCTCCTCCAGGAGGTGAAGTGAAAGAAACCAAAAAATCTCATTTAAATGCAGAATAAGTTGAATTACTTTTCTAATAAAAGTGTTTTTAATTCCTGGCGGCGGTGGAACAGCTAGAAACTCCCCTGAAGTCTGCAGGTTTTAACATCAAAGCAGCTGAAATTAAAGCTATTCTTCATCCTCGCAGTGTTTTTCTGCAGGGTTAAAGGAGGAAAAAGTCCTTTTCTTATTCACAGTCTGCAGAGAGGAGTTCACTTCCCACAGAGTCGATCTGAAATATTCATGCTGCGCAGCTGAACTCATTTCCTTCCATGTGGGCTCAGAGCAATGTTAGTTTCCAGTTTCAAACATCAACGGTTTCTGCTGATTTTCAGCTGGATTCTGTTTGACATCAGTTGGAAAGAAATGAGTCCAAACTTTGTTATTTTTCGTCCTCCTAAAAATAACTCAGTCATTAAAGCAGTTTTCGTATTCTGGTTTTCCTTTAATCCCATTGTTCTAGTTTCTGCAGCCCGTCACTCTGAAATGATCACAGACCCACAGATGTTTGGTTTGAAGCTCAGCTTTGATTAGAGGAAATATAATCCACTGCAGAACAGTAAAGTTCTTAACTTTTTCACCAGCAGAAAGTTTCAAAAAGTCGTCTGAAATAAATACATTTTTTGAGAATCACTGGTTCCACGGACAGAAGAATAAACTGAAGCTTTTTATTGTTTTAAACTAAATTCATCATCATCGTTGGACGTAAATAGAAATTTCTCTTCACACTGCAGAAATGATCTAGTAATAAGTGTCTTAAATTAGGTCTATTTACCCTTAATTTGATTATGTAAATGAGATGGAACGAGTATTTTACTCTTAAAGGAAAAGTCGCTCATATTCAGAATCCAAACTTCTGAAAGTTCTTTAAATCTGAAATGATTCCATCCTGTTCAATAAATGATCAGTGTTTTTAATTCAGTCATTTTCATGTGAATGTGCTTTACTGGAGGCATCCATGTTTGTCAAAGAACACTACTGCCACCTACTGCTTTGTGACGACACGGTGCGGTATCGGGCTGTTGATCAAGTTCCAGTGCTGTATCTGGTGTTTGTCAATAATGATCCATTGGTTATTCCTCAGACTTTTCCTAAGATAATTAGATAATATGCACTTGAAATAAGGAAACACAACTGGTAGGGTCTCCCAAGGCCAACAGGCTCTGGGTGACAGGTCAGACGACGAGCGGTTCAAAAACCCTTATGACGAGGACTACAGCGAGGCACTTAACGTCGCCCGGTACGGTGGAGCCGGGACCCCACCCTGGAGCCAGGCCTGTGGTTGGGGTTCATCGTCAAGTGCCTGGTGGTCGGGTTCTTCCTCGCGGGACCCGGCCTGGCCCAGCCCGAAGGAGCGACGCGAGGCCATCCCCCAGTGGGGCCACCACCTGCAGGGGGAACAATGAGGGTCCGGTGCATAGGGGATTGGGTGGCAGCCAGAGGCGGAGACCTCGGCGAACTGATCCGCGGGCGCTTAAATTATTGTACTTATATTTTATTATTTCATTACACCAGAGTATTAGGGCCAGGCTAAAGAATTTTTTTCTTCTATTTCGAGGATAAAGTCGTAACATTACGAGAATAAAGTCATATTATTACGAGAATAAAGTCGTAACATTACGAGAATAAAGTCGTAAAATTACGAGAATAAAGTCGTAAAATTATGAGAACAAGGTCATAATATTACGAGAATAAAGTCGTAACATTACGAGAATAAAGTCGTAAAATTACGAAAATAAAGTCGTAAAATTACAAGAATAAGGCAATAATATTACAAGAATAAAGTTGTAACATTACGAGAATAAAGTCATAATATTACGAGAATAAAGTCGTAACTTACGAGAATAAAGTCGTAAAATTACGAAAATAAAGTCGTAAAATTACGAGAATAAAGTCGTAAAGTTACGAGAATAAAGTCATAATATTACGAGAATAAAGTCGTAATATTACGAGAATAAAGTCAGAACATTATGCGAATAAAGTCGTAAAATTACGAGAATAAAGTCATTATATTACCAAAATAAAGTCGTAATATTACCAGAATAAAGTTGCAACATTACGAGAATAAAGTTGTAACATTACGAGAATAAAGTTTTAACATTACAAGAATAAAGTCATTATATTACCAGAATAAAGTTGTAACATCAAGAGAATAAAGTTGTAACATTACGAGAATAAAGTCAAAATATTTCGAGAATAAAGTCGTAACATTACGAGAATAGTCAAAATATTTCGAGAATAAAGTTGTAACATTACGAGAATAAAGTCGTAACATTATGAGAATAAAGTCAAAATATTTCGAGAATAAAGTCTTAACATTATGAGAAAAAAGTCGTAACATTACGAGAATAAAGTCATAATCTTACGAGAATAAAGTCGTAACATTACGAGAATAAATTCGTAAAATTACGAGAATAAAGTCATAATATTACGAGAATAAAGTCGTAACATTACGAGAATAAAGTCATAATATTACGAGAATAAAGTCGTAATATTACGAGAATAAAGTCGTAAATTACGAGAATAAATTCATAATATTACGAGAATAAAGTCGTAACATTACGAGAATAAAGTCATAACATTACGAGAATAAAGTCATAATATTACGAGAATAAAGTCGTAACATTACGAGAATAAATTCGTAAAATTACGAGAATAAAGTCATAATATTACGAGAATAAAGTCGTAACATTACGAGAATAAAGTCGTAAAATTACGATAATAAAGTCAGAATATTACGAGAATAAAGTCGTAAAATTACGAGAATAAAGTCATAATATTACGAGAATAAAGTCGTAATATTACGAGAATAAAGTCAGAACATTATGAGAATAAAGTCGTAAAATTACGAGAATAAGGTCATTATATTACGAGAATAAAGTTGTAACATTACGAGAATAAAGTTGTAACATTACGAGAATAAAGTTGTAACATTACGAGAATAAAGTCGTAACATTACGAGAATAAGGTCATTATATTACGAGAATAAAGTTGTAACATTACGAGAACAAAGTCGTAACATTACGAGAATAAAGTCAAAATATTTCGAGAATAAAGTCGTAACATTACGAGAATAGTCAAAATATTTCGAGAATAAAGTTGTAACATTACGAGAATAAAGTCGTAACATTATGAGAATAAAGTCAAAATATTTCGAGAATAAAGTCTTAACATTATGAGAAAAAAGTCGTAACATTACGAGAATAAAGTCATAATCTTACGAGAATAAAGTCGTAACATTACGAGAATAAATTCGTAAAATTACGAGAATAAAGTCATAATATTACGAGAATAAAGTCGTAACATTACGAGAATAAAGTCATAATATTACGAGAATAAAGTCGTAATATTACGAGAATAAAGTCGTAAATTACGAGAATAAATTCATAATATTACGAGAATAAAGTCGTAACATTACGAGAATAAAGTCATAACATTACGAGAATAAAGTCATAATATTACGAGAATAAAGTCGTAACATTACGAGAATAAATTCGTAAAATTACGAGAATAAAGTCATAATATTACGAGAATAAAGTCGTAACATTACGAGAATAAAGTCGTAAAATTACGATAATAAAGTCAGAATATTACGAGAATAAAGTCGTAAAATTACGAGAATAAAGTCATAATATTACGAGAATAAAGTCGTAATATTACGAGAATAAAGTCAGAACATTACGAGAATAAAGTCGTAACATTACGAGAACAAAGTCATTATATTTCCAGAATAAAGTTGTAACATTACGAGAATAAAGTTGTAACATTACGAGAATAAAGTTGTAACATTACGAGAATAAAGTTTTAACATTATGAGAACAAAGTCATTATATTTCCAGAATAAAGTTGTAACATCAAGAGAATAAAGTTTTAACATTACGAGAATAAAGTCAAAATATTTCGAGAATAAAGTCGTAACATTACGAGAATAGTCAAAATATTTCGAGAATAAAGTTGTAACATTACTAGAATAAAGTCGTAACATTATGAGAATAAAGTCAAAATATTTCGAGAATAAAGTCTTAACATTATGAGAAAAAAGTCGTAACATTACGAGAATAAAGTCATAATCTTACGAGAATAAAGTCGTAACATTACGAGAATAAATTCGTAAAATTACGAGAATAAAGTCATAATATTACGAGAATAAAGTCGTAACATTACGAGAATAAAGTCATAATATTACGAGAATAAAGTCGTAATATTACGAGAATAAAGTCGTAAATTACGAGAATAAATTCATAATATTACGAGAATAAAGTCGTAACATTACGAGAATAAAGTCATAACATTACGAGAATAAAGTCATAATATTACGAGAATAAAGTCGTAACATTACGAGAATAAATTCGTAAAATTACGAGAATAAAGTCATAATATTACGAGAATAAAGTCGTAACATTACGAGAATAAAGTCGTAAAATTACGATAATAAAGTCAGAATGTTACGAGAATAATGTCGTAACATTACGAGAATAAAGTCATAATATTACAAGAATAAAGTCGTAACATTACGAGAATAAAGTCATAAATTACGAGAATAAAGTCATAACATTACGAGATTAAAGTCGTAACATTACGAGAATAAAGTCGTAACATTACGAGAATAAAGTCATAACATTACGAGATTAAAGTCGTAACATTACGAGAATAAAGTTGTAACATTATGAGAATAAAGTCATAATATTACGAGAATAAAGTCATAATATTACGAGAATAAAGTCGTAACATTACAAGAATAAAGTAATACAATTAGGAGAATAAAGTCATAATATTACGATAATAAAGTCATAAAATAGTGTTTTGCTCTATGGGCGTTACGCATGCACCGACACATCGGGATTAATGGACCCATCCCTACTCTGTAACATTAAAATGATGGAAAAGATACAAGAAACGACCACTTGGCCTCATAAATTAAGAAAAATAGCAAAAAGTTATTTTATAATAAATCAATGAAAACATCCAGAGTCTTTTCCATCTCCATCTGGAAGTGACCAAAAATGGTAACTTCCCCTCAAAAGGAGTTTAAGGTCAGAGGTCATCAGACAGCCTTTAGTTAGAGGATGATGATGATGGTGATGATGATGATGATGATGGTGATGTTGATGATGATGATGGTGAAAGGTCTCCTCTCCTTCCTCAGGTCCTGAGTGGGGAGCAGCTCAACCTGACCGCCTCCATCTCCCTCAGCTCCGTCGTCACTCGTTTCCCAGCCGCTCCTCTCTCCCAGCCCGTCATCTCCTGCTCCTCCAGACAGGACCCGCCGCCGTGGATCTCCTTCTCCCAGGGGGGCGGCGCCCTGAATGCACAGAGGCCTTTATCTCAGCCATCTAACAGTCAGAACCTCTTCGGCTCCGTTTCCTCCTTCTTTCAGCACTTCCAGCCGGCCTCCTCCCTCCCCTCCCTACCGCCTCCCGCCCCGCTGAACCCCACGCCTAAACTGGTCCCCATCTTCAGGAACAAGGACGCCTCCCGCCACGTCAATGTCGTCCAGCTGCGCGCCCAGAAGCAGGAGCAGCTGAGCGGACGGAAGGAGGAGAAGCGAAGGATCACCCTGCCTGTTCCTCTGGAGCCTGCCGCCAACGCAGTGTCCTTTTCTCCTTCCCTCTCGGCTCTATCCGTCCCTCTGACTCCTCTGATCGTCCCCCGTTTCCGTCCTAAAACCCAGAGGAGTATCCCGTCTGAGCCATCGTATCCGCCCACGATCACCCGGATCACCAGCCTCAGTCCGGTGTCCAGGATCAAACCGGCCATCATCGTCCCATCACTGATCAAACATAAAGCCAAGAAATCTGAGAGCGTCGTCCCTGAAGGCGACACCGTGTCCGACTCGAGGAGGATAACGGAGCAGAAGGTCGGATCTAAGAGCTGCGTCCCAAAATCCATCGTTAAAGCCAACAGGGCGGCCGGTCCTGAAACAGAACCGGACCAGCGCCCTCTGATGCCCGCAGGCTCCTCCAGCAAGGCAAGGAAAAAGAAGGTAAGTCCAGCTGGTCTGAAGTGGTGCCAGTATCAGGTCTGATTCTACAAAACTGTTTCCACCCGCACCGTAGAGTTTAGAACCAAGAGCCGACCCGTTAAATTATCCTCTGTCAGATGAGCGTACCCCATCAGACCAGTATATCCATAGTCTATATGCATGCACAAGACATCAGATTTTTATTTATTCCTTTAGTTTTGAAAGAAAAATAGACTTTAATCCACCTTGATGGGCGTGTATCCCCACAGATCAGCTGCAATGAGCAGACAGCAGCTAACAATGTCAAGCTACTTTGCTGTAATCAATGCAGTACAGCAACAGCTGTGTGGAGTCCATAAAGAAAGACGAACAAGAACTATGGATGCAGCATTTTTGCTTTTGCATGCGTTTTGTCTGTTTGCCTCATTTTTATATTTGCAAATATTATGTCGCAGCCATTCAAAATGGCCCTTACCAGTCAAATGCCATCCGAATGGCAGCCCACTGCGACTCCCAGCCTAATCCCTTCCAATTTCCAACCACTAGAGTGACCCCCCCTCTTGCATATTTCTTACTCTGGCTCCACCCTTTCACTGAATTACAGGGTCTGACCAGGAGATGGCGCTTCTCTTTAGTTCTTAAAGTCCACAAATCATGACAGAAAGAATATTCTAGTACAAAGATTGAAGTTTAAAAAGGAATTGTAGGGGACCAACCAAAGGCCAGCCAAGGGCCATCCAAGGACCACCCAAAGGCCAGCCAAGGATCAGCCAAGGACCACCCAAGGGCCAACCAAGGATCAGCCAAGGGCCAACCAAGGATCAGCCAAGGGCCAACCAAGGACCACCCAAGGGCCATCCAAGGACCACCCAAAGGCCAGCCAAGGATCAGCCAAGGGCCAGCCAAGGATCAGCCAAGGACCACCCAAGGGCCAACCAAGGATCAGCCAAGGGCCACCCAAGGATCCCCCAAGGACCAACCAAGGACCTGCCAAGGGCCACTCAAGGGCCAACCAAGGACCATCCAACGACCACCTGCCAAGGGCCAACCAATGACCAGCCAAGGGCCACCCAAGGATCCCCCAAGGACCAACCAAGGACCTGCCAAGGGCCACCCAAGGGCCAACCAAGGGCCAACCAATGACCACCCAAGGGCCACCCAAGGACCACCCAAGGGCCACCCAAGGACCACCCAATGGCCAACCAAGGACCAGCCAAGGGCCACCCAAGGACCACCCAATGGCCAACCAAGGACCAGCCAAGGGCCAACCAAGGACCAGCCAAGGGCCAACAAAGGAAAGGGGGTCATTTTGAATGGCTACTCCTGTGTGTATTTGCAGTGCGTCTGCAGCTCTCGGCTCCCTAACGTATTGGAGAAGACGATTTACCGCCATTCAAAGCAGCACAATAAACAGCAAACAAATGACAGATAATCCAAGGGACCAAAACTTATCAATTCTATTAAAATCTTTTTAAAATACATAGATTTTTTTTCCAGAGTCTCTCTCTCCCATCATGGCTACTTGTTGATGGCAATAACATGATTTCAAAGAGCATTAAAAAGCATTAAATAAAGTCACTGCTTTCTGTATAAACCCTGCTTTAGGTGGCCTTTGGGCTGAAGGAGGAGAAGATGAAGGCTTCAGTGGACGATGTGGAGAAAATGAACCAAAGCAACCAGGTGAGGAGACCACCTGAACCTCCTTCTCCTTCTGAAAACAGCGGCTCAGGTGGATCTGGGTTAATCAAGCATCAGGAGAAGCTGATCACCATCAGACCTCCTGTTTATTAAACTATCTTTTGTACATTTTGCTCCTTAAAAGTTCCCAGTTTACAGGAAAAACTTTCCTTTTCCGCCTGTTTTTCTCACTTTTCTTTCTTGCTTGCATGTGCGTCACAAACTAAGTGCAGGTGGAGTGCAGGACATGCGGCTGACGGCGTTCCCGCCGCACCGAGCCGTGCGTCGGCTCTTTTCAGAGCGCAGGACGCATTAAGGTGATGGATGAAAGTGTGTTAGTGTGATGAATAGCAAACACAGTCTCTGCTTCCTCTGAGAACATGTTTAGGGAGGCAGAGGGAGGGCGTTAAAAGTGATGAACGATGGAGGGGGAGGCGGCGGCTCGCTGTAGTAATAACAACATTCATCAGTTTTACGGCTCGGACCGCCACGTCTCCTCCACGTGTTTCTGCTTTGCTTTCAGCTCTCTGCTTTTATTTATGCTACTTTTTCTTTAGCAGTTTATGAACAGATGATCTACTGAGATCAAATCCAGCCTCCTGATTCCTCCTCTTCTTCTCCTCCTGTCCAGCTGTCCAAGCTGAGCTCCTCCACTCTGCTGCTGTGGCTCAAACGGAGAGGAGTCCAGGTCTCTGCCAAACACAGGAAGGACGAGCTGATCCGGACGGTGATGAGCTGCCTGGCTGAGGCCTGAACCGACGAGAGCGTCTGATTGGTTCTACTGGAACGTTCCGCCTTCATCCACTGGCTGAGGCCTGAACCGACCAGAGCGTCTGATTGGTTCTACCGGAACGTTCCACCTTCATCCACTGGCTGAGGCCTGAACCGACCAGAACGTCTCCTCCTCAGAGCGTCTGATTGGTTCTACCGGAACGTTCCGCCTTCATCCACTGGCTGAGGCCTGAACCGACCAGAACGTCTCCTCCTCAGAGCGTGTGATTGGTTCTACCGGAATGTTCCGCCTTCATCCACTGGCTGAGGCCTGAACCGACCAGAGCGTCTGATTGGTTCTACCGGAACGTTCCGCCTTCATCCACTGGCTGAGGCCTGAACCGACCAGAACGTCTCCTCCTCAGAGCGTCTGATTGGTTCTACCGGAACGTTCCGCCTTCATCCACTGGCTGAGGCCTGAACCGACCAGAACGTCTCCTCCTCAGAGCGTCTGATTGGTTCTACCGGAACGTTCCGCCTTCATCCACTGGCTGAGGCCTGAACCGACCAGAACGTCTCCTCCTCAGAGCGTGTGATTGGTTCTACCGGAATGTTCCGCCTTCATCCACTGGCTGAGGCCTGAACCAACCAGAACGCCTCCTCCTCAGAACGTCTGATTGGTTCTACCGGAACGTTCCGCCTTCATCCACTGGCTGAGGCCTGAACCGACCAGAACGTCTCCTCCTCAGAGCGTGTGATTGGTTCTACCGGAACGTTCCGCCTTCATCCACTGGCTGAGGCCTGAACCGACCAGAACGTCTCCTCCTCAGAGCGTCTGATTGGTTCTACCGGAACGTTCCGCCTCCATCCACTGGCTGAGGCCTGAACCGACCAGAACGTCTCCTCCTCAGAGCGTCTGATTGGTTCTACCGGAACGTTCCGCCTTCATCCACTGGCTGAGGCCTGAGCCGACCAGAACGTCTCCTCCTCAGAGCGTGTGATTGGTTCTACCGGAATGTTCCGCCTTCATCCACTGGCTGAGGCCTGAACCAACCAGAACGCCTCCTCCTCAGAACGTCTGATTGGTTCTACCGGAACGTTCCGCCTTCATCCACTGGCTGAGGCCTGAACCGACCAGAACGTCTCCTCCTCAGAGCGTGTGATTGGTTCTACCGGAACGTTCCGCCTTCATCCACTGGCTGAGGCCTGAACCGACCAGAACGTCTCCTCCTCAGAGCGTCTGATTGGTTCTACCGGAACGTTCCGCCTTCATCCACTGGCTGAGGCCTGAACCGACCAGAACGTCTCCTCCTCAGAGCGTCTGATTGGTTCTACCGGAACGTTCCGCCTTCATCCACTGGCTGAGGCCTGAACCGACCAGAACGTCTCCTCCTCAGAGCGTGTGATTGGTTCTACCGGAATGTTCTGCCTTCATCCACTGGCTGAGGCCTGAACCAACCAGAACGCCTCCTCCTCAGAACGTCTGATTGGTTCTACCGGAACGTTCCGCCTTCATCCACTGGCTGAGGCCTGAACCGACCAGAACGTCTCCTCCTCAGAGCGTGTGATTGGTTCTACCGGAACGTTCCGCCTTCATCCACTGGCTGAGGCCTGAACCAACCAGAACGTCTCCTCCTCAGAGCGTCTGATTGGTTCTACCGGAACGTTCCGCCTTCATCCACTGGCTGAGGCCTGAACCGACCAGAACGTCTCCTCCTCAGAACGTCTGATTGGTTCTACTGGAACGTTCCGCCTTCATCCACTGGCTGAGGCCTGAACCGACCAGAACGTCTCCTCCTCAGAACGTCTGATTGGTTCTACCGGAACGTTCCGCCTTCATCCACTGGCTGAGGCCTGAACCAACCAGAACGCCTCCTCCTCAGAACGTCTGATTGGTTCTACTGGAACGTTCCGCCTTCATCCACTGGCTGAGGCCTGAACCAACCAGAACGCCTCCTCCTCAGAACGTCTGATTGGTTCTACTGAAAACGTTCCGCCTTCATCCACTGGCTGAGGCCTGAACCAACCAGAACGTCTCCTCCTCAGAGCTTCTGATTGGTTCTACTGGAACGTTCCGCCTTCATCCACTGGCTGAGGCCTGAACCAACCAGAACGCCTCCTCCTCAGAGCCTCTGATTGGTTCTACCGGAAGGTTCCGCCTTCATCCACTGGCTGAGGCCTGAACCAACCAGAACGTCTGATTGGTTCTACCGGAACGTTCCGCCTTCATCCACTGGCTGAGGCCTGAACCAACCAGAACGTCTGATTGGTTCTACCGGAACGTTCCGCCTTCATCCACTGGCTGAGGCCTGAACCGACCAGAACGTCTCCTCCTCAGAGCTTCTGATTGGTTCTACCGGAATGTTCCACCTTCATCCACTGGCTGAGGCCTGAACCAACCAGAACGCCTCCTCCTCAGAGCTTCTGATTGGTTCTACCGGAATGTTCCGCCTTCATCCACTGGCTGAGGCCTGAACCGACCAGAACGTCTCCTCCTCAGATCGTGTGATTGGTTCTACTGGAACGTTCCGCCTTCATCCACTGGCTGAGGCCTGAACCGACCAGAACGTCTCCTCCTCAGAGCGTCTGATTGGTTCTACCGGAACGTTCCGCCTCCATCCACTGGCTGAGGCCTGAACCGACCAGAATGTCTCCTCCTCAGAGCGTCTGATTGGTTCTACCGGAACGTTCCGCCTTCATCCACTGGCTGAGGCCTGAGCCGACCAGAACGTCTCCTCCTCAGAGCGTGTGATTGGTTCTACCGGAATGTTCCGCCTTCATCCACTGGCTGAGGCCTGAACCAACCAGAACGCCTCCTCCTCAGAACGTCTGATTGGTTCTACCGGAACGTTCCGCCTTCATCCACTGGCTGAGGCCTGAACCGACCAGAACGTCTCCTCCTCAGAGCGTGTGATTGGTTCTACCGGAACGTTCCGCCTTCATCCACTGGCTGAGGCCTGAACCGACCAGAACGTCTCCTCCTCAGAGCGTCTGATTGGTTCTACCGGAACGTTCCGCCTTCATCCACTGGCTGAGGCCTGAACCGACCAGAACGTCTCCTCCTCAGAGCGTCTGATTGGTTCTACCGGAACGTTCCGCCTTCATCCACTGGCTGAGGCCTGAACCGACCAGAACGTCTCCTCCTCAGAGCGTGTGATTGGTTCTACCGGAATGTTCTGCCTTCATCCACTGGCTGAGGCCTGAACCAACCAGAACGCCTCCTCCTCAGAACGTCTGATTGGTTCTACCGGAACGTTCCGCCTTCATCCACTGGCTGAGGCCTGAACCGACCAGAACGTCTCCTCCTCAGAGCGTGTGATTGGTTCTACCGGAACGTTCCGCCTTCATCCACTGGCTGAGGCCTGAACCAACCAGAACGTCTCCTCCTCAGAGCGTCTGATTGGTTCTACCGGAACGTTCCGCCTTCATCCACTGGCTGAGGCCTGAACCGACCAGAACGTCTCCTCCTCAGAACGTCTGATTGGTTCTACTGGAACGTTCCGCCTTCATCCACTGGCTGAGGCCTGAACCGACCAGAACGTCTCCTCCTCAGAACGTCTGATTGGTTCTACCGGAACGTTCCGCCTTCATCCACTGGCTGAGGCCTGAACCAACCAGAACGCCTCCTCCTCAGAACGTCTGATTGGTTCTACTGGAACGTTCCGCCTTCATCCACTGGCTGAGGCCTGAACCAACCAGAACGCCTCCTCCTCAGAACGTCTGATTGGTTCTACTGAAAACGTTCCGCCTTCATCCACTGGCTGAGGCCTGAACCAACCAGAACGTCTCCTCCTCAGAGCTTCTGATTGGTTCTACTGGAACGTTCCGCCTTCATCCACTGGCTGAGGCCTGAACCAACCAGAACGCCTCCTCCTCAGAGCCTCTGATTGGTTCTACCGGAAGGTTCCGCCTTCATCCACTGGCTGAGGCCTGAACCAACCAGAACGTCTGATTGGTTCTACCGGAACGTTCCGCCTTCATCCACTGGCTGAGGCCTGAACCGACCAGAACGTCTCCTCCTCAGATCGTGTGATTGGTTCTACTGGAACGTTCCGCCTTCATCCACTGGCTGAGGCCTGAACCGACCAGAACGTCTCCTCCTCAGAGCGTCTGATTGGTTCTACCGGAACGTTCCGCCTTCATCCACTGGCTGAGGCCTGAACCAACCAGAACGTCTCCTCCTCAGAACGTCTGATTGGTTCTACTGGAACGTTCCGCCTTCATCCACTGGCTGAGGCCTGAACCAACCAGAACGCCTCCTCCTCAGAACGTCTGATTGGTTCTACTGGAACGTTCCGTCTCATCCACTGGCTGAGGCCTGAACCAACCAGAACGTCTCCTCAGAGCGTCTGATTGGTTCTACTGGAACGTTCCGCCTTCATCCACTGGCTGAGGCCTGAACCAACCAGAACACCTCCTCCTCAGAGCTTCTGATTGGTTCTACTGGAACGTTCCGCCTTCATCCACTGGCTGAGGCCTGAACCGACCAGAACGTCTCCTCCTCAGAGCGTCTGACTGGTTCTACCGGAACGTTCCGCCTTCATCCACTGGCTGAGGCCTGAACCAAGCAGAATGTCTGATTGGTTCTACCGGAACGTTCCGCCTTCATCCACTGGCTGAGGTCTGAACCAACCAGAACGTCTGATTGGTTCTACCGGAACGTTCCGCCTTCATCCACTGGCTGAGGCCTGAACCGACCAGAACGTCTCCTCCTCAGAGCTTCTGATTGGTTCTACCGGAATGTTCCACCTTCATCCACTGGCTGAGGCCTGAACCAACCAGAACGCCTCCTCCTCAGAGCTTCTGATTGGTTCTACCGGAATGTTCCGCCTTCATCCACTGGCTGAGGCCTGAACCGACCAGAACGTCTCCTCCTCAGAGCTTCTGATTGGTTCTACCGGAATGTTCCACCTTCATCCACTGGCTGAGGCCTGAACCAACCAGAACGTCTCCTCCTCAGAGCGTCTGATTGGTTCTACCGGAATGTTCCACCTTCATCCACTGGCTGAGGCCTGAACCAACCAGAACGCCTCCTCCTCAGAGCTTCTGATTGGTTCTACCGGAACGTTCCGCCTTCATCCACTGGCTGAGGCCTGAACCTACCAGAACGTCTCCTCCTCAGAGCGTCTGATTGGTTCTACCGGAATGTTCCGCCTTCATCCACTGGCTGAGGCCTGAACCGACCAGAACGTCTCCTCCTCAGAGCTTCTGATTGGTTCTACCGGAATGTTCCACCTTCATCCACTGGCTGAGGCCTGAACCAACCAGAACGTCTCCTCCTCAGAGCGTCTGATTGGTTCTACCGGAATGTTCCACCTTCATCCACTGGCTGAGGCCTGAACCAACCAGAACGCCTCCTCCTCAGAGCTTCTGATTGGTTCTACCGGAACGTTCCGCCTTCATCCACTGGCTGAGGCCTGAACCTACCAGAACGTCTCCTCCTCAGAGCGTCTGATTGGTTCTACCGGAACGTTCCGCCTTCATCCACTGGCTGAGGCCTGAACCTACCAGAACGTCTCCTCCTCAGAGCGTCTGATTGGTTCTACCGGAACGTTCCACCTTCATTCGCTTCTCGATGGGTTTCTAATATTGAGGCTTAATTTTTTCTTGAATTTAAACAACAATTGCAGCCATGATTAAAAAAAAACAACCTTCTTTTGGAGCTTTCAGTTAGTGAAAACGTTTAATTTTGATAAAATCGTTCTTTAAAAACTTTATTTTCGCACATGGCTTTACATGCATGTTACTTTACCAGTTGTATTAATGGAGCCTTTAGAAGTTTATTATCTAAACCTTTCCTCTAATTCCCAGAAGGTAACCAATGAATTCAGTTAAAAACCTGCAAGTTCTGTCAAAATTCTTCACATGTTCCAGTTGTTATTCGGCATCTTTATGTATTTATTACATATTTAAACTGCAGCTGTTTATTTTTCTGTTGGAGGCTGTAAGTTAATGTTTATTTATTGAAGTTTATCTAAATAAATCAAGTT